GGCGATCCGCGCTTAATGTAGTAGCGCATTGGCAATCCGCGCTTAATGTAGTAGCGCATCGGCAATCCGCGCCTAAATGTAAGCGCGGATTGCCAATCCGCGCTTAAATGTTTGTGTGTTCGCGGGTGGCACAATCATTGAATCTACTACGACCCGTTTGAATTGTAAGAAGCTGCGCCAGCTCGGAGAGGAATGTGCCCCGCACGCGCGCTTTCACGTTTTCTGCGCGATGGGCCAGTACGATTGAATGTGACTCAGTCAAACTGTACAGTACTTTCATCTGCGTGAAACGAATCGGAATTTTCTGACGATATGATGACGTCGTCTTTCATAGGGCAAGTTCTCACACCGGTATATATTGGAACTCCGTGTAAAAATGACGTAGTATGACAAAGAAGGACGTCGGAATCCTTTTTGGATGACACTGACTCACTGACCCATCATCCTTTCGAAGAAAAACTTGATTTTCTTTTTGCACAACATACACTCTCTTGTCATAAAAAATAAACATTCGACCAATCTTTTTGATATATCCGAATTCCAACCACACAAACACAAACATGAAGATCTCCGCCGCTCTCACCTTCCTCGTCACCGCCGCCTCTTTTGGTAACTCTTTGGCCTTTGCCCCTGCTTCTCCTGGTGTCAAGAACACCAAGCAACAGACATCGTTGGCTTCCACCCTTCCTCCCAGCAGTGAATGGAAAGGATATTACACCAACTACGCCGATACACAAGTCGTCTTGACTGGAGCCGATCGAAACTTTGATCCATTGGGCTTCTCCGACAACAATGCGGGACTCTTCTTTATGCGCGAAGCCGAAATCAAGCACTGCCGTTTGGCCATGTACGTATACAAAATGAAAACGAAAAAAAAGAAAAGGAATATAAGAACAACATTTGTGTCTGACACCTTTTTTCTTCTCTTTGCTCCTCCACCTTTCTTTTTGCCAATTCTCTCAGGCTCGCTGCTGCCAGTTGGCCCGTGGCGGAACTTTTGGACCGCCCCATTGCCAATCTCATTGGTCAGCCAGCCATTGTCGATGCCAGCGACAGAAACCCAAGTGTCTTGAATGGAGGACTTGAAAAGATCAGTCCTTTGTACTGGGCTACCGTTTTGGTTGCTGCTGCTGCCATTGATTTGTACCAAATCAACACGGCAAACGCCAACCCTGATACCTACACTCCAGGTAATTTGGGTTTTGATCCTCTCGGTCTTTACCCCAAGGATGAGGCCGGTCAAAAGAACATGATGGCCAAGGAATTGCGTAATGGACGCTTGGCCATGATTTCGGTTGCCGCATTTGCAGCACAAGAATATGTTGCCAATGTCGGCATTGTCGACCAAACGCCACTCTAAACCACAATGGGTTGACTTTTTGAATATATATTTAGTCAGCAATATATAATATAATATCCTATAGATTCCGCCAGATTATCTGATGCACACTATGAACTTACCTACAGGTGAAAGACACATTTTGATCCAGAAGTGAGCTTCAGCAGTTTGTACCAAATTGTACGAAACCACCATTGATTCATTGCCTTCCATTCATCTTCGACGCTTTGCAATCCGCCACGATGGCAACGGGAAGATATGATAACCAAGCAAAGAATGTAGTATGTTCGTAGCCCAAAGGTAAATTTCAAATTGTTTGAACTGTGCGCTATAGTCATCTATCGTCGTCATTTGGGAGCGAGTGAGTGAGTTGAATTATCTCACTCCCTCGTCGTCGAATTCAATTTATATTATTTTGGCGCGAACCTCAGTGGACTCATAGGATTGATTTCAGTATCCGCCGCATACATTTTACAGTATTATTCTCATAGGGCGCAATGCGAAAATATAACTAAAGCCGCATCGCTCTGTTGTGCATTATCATTGTCATCAAAGGCAATAATACGGATTGTTGACAGCCACATTATCAGGAAAGGATTGAAATTCTAACACTGACAATGCAGAACCATCACAACCACGTTATTCCACAATCGCAATTGCAATTGCAATTGCAATCCAACCAGCCACAATCCTCAAATCCTGCGTCATCAGCAGCCAATCATCATCATCATCATCATCATCATTATGCTCATCAACAACAAGCGTATGCTTCGTATGCCACCATGAGGCCAGCGTTGAGTTATCCAAACCATCCACCGCCGCAGCATCAGTATGCTGGATACAACCATAATAGTTATTGCAATCATCAAGCACCACCAATGACATTTTCTCAACCGCCTCCTCCTCCTCAATCTTCTTCTTCTTCTTCTTCTTCTGGAACGACACCCTCCCATCAAGTCAAACCAAGAAAGGTCACTCCACCCAAAGCGCCACCAGCAGCATCGGCCTCTCGTCGCTCGGAACGCAAGCGCAAGTCGACATTGGTCTATGTGGATGGACATGCCGTCTTGAGGCAAAACAATTACGAAGTCAAGGGTGGGGAATATGTGCATGGACACGTGTATTCCAACGCCCCTCGTCCCAGCAAGCGGACCCGCGTCGATCGCAATCATGGCAATATCATGGCAACCAAAACCCCAAACACGGAACCAGCACCAAGAGTGGTTTCGGCCCATGAAGTCCAACGCAAACATCACAATGCGCGTGTCCAAGCCGTGGTCCGCCAGAACGAAGGATTGCGATGGAACTTTTTGGGCCAGCATGTGGACTTGTTGCAGCATTTTTGCGAACCGAAAGTCTTGGCCGACCTAAAGAACAAGAATAGCAGCAACCGAGAAAACTATAGTATATACCAACCTTTGGATCTTTTGACAGAAGCACCAAAGGCAGTCCAAGCTACATTGCGAGATTATCAGCTACAAGGTTTGACCTTTATGGCCAACATGCACAATCAAAATCTTTCCATGATTTTGGGAGATGAAATGGGATTGGTACGTCTTATAAATGTGTATTCTGCGCTTTCTGGATTCTCATTTTTTGCATACCGGTAGCACAAATGTCTCATCTCACAATATATTATATCTATCATGGATTCATATTCATTTTTCCCGATTTTTTTTTCTATTTGCAGGGCAAAACATTGCAAACCATTTCCTTTCTGTGCTGGCTGAAAGAGAATCGTGGCGTTACTGGACCCAGTCTCGTCATTTGTCCCCTCTCGGTCTTGTCCAGTTGGTGCAAGGAAATGGCCCAATGGGCACCAACGCTCAAGTTTTTCCGCATGCACGCCTCCAGCCCGACCGAGCAAATGCATCAAAAACACGAATTGACGACCAATGCTTGCCATTACGATGTCATTTTGACCACCTACGAAATGGCCAAGGTGCCCCTGATGCGTTCCTTTTACAGTCGATTGCATTTCAATTATTTGGTATTGGACGAAGGCCACAAGATCAAGGGTCACGAAACCCAAATTGCGCAAGCCGTGCGGAGCATCCATGCCGGCAACCAATTGATTCTCACGGGAACACCCCTGCAAAACAACATGGTCGAACTCTGGTCGCTCTTGCAATTCTTGTATCCTGCCATTTTTACCACCAGCGAACCATTTGCCAAGGCCTTTTGCCTGGCGGAAAATGTCATTGACAAGGGATTTTTGCAGCAATCGCACCAACTGCTCAATTTGTTCATGTTGCGTCGACTCAAGCAAAAGGTCGAGACTTTTATTCCAGCAAAACTAGAGACCAAGGTCTATTGCCCACTGTCGAAAACGCAATCCTTTTGGTACCGATCGCTGCTCATGAAGGATTTGTCCAAATTGGCCAGTGCCGAAGACCAAGGAAGTGATGCCCTGGAAGGCAATGCTCAAAAGCATACCGTTCTCAAGTCGCTCTTTATGCAATTGCGAAAGTGTTGCAACCATCCATTTGTCTTTGACGGGGCCGAAATGGATCCGGGACAAACAACCTTGGAAGAACTAGTGGCAGCCTCTGGGAAATTGAGCGTCTTGGACATGCTGCTCCAGCGACTCTTTCGAGACAATCATCGAGCAGTGGTCTTTTCGCAATTTACTTCCATCTTGGATATCATTGAAGACTATTGCCGTTTGCGCGGATGGAAGTACTGTCGTTTGGACGGGAGCACGGAACGGGCACGTCGCAGCTATTACATCAATCGATTCAACGAACCCGATTCTCCCTTTTTCTTGTTTCTGGTGTCGACTCGGAGTGGCGGAATGGGATTGAATCTGCAAACGGCCGATACCTGCATCCTGTTTGACAGCGATTGGAATCCTCAATCCGACATTCAAGCCATGGGGCGTGTCCACCGGATCGGGCAAACCAAAACAGTCCATGTCTATCGATTGGTCAGCTCTGGAACGGTGGAGGAACGCATGTTGCAACGGGCAGAGAAGAAACTCTTGTTGGAAATGGTCAATCAAGAATCCAAAGAAAGTGGCGAGGACGAAAGAGTCCGTGGGCTGTCGGCGGCAGAGCTACTGGAGGATATCAAGTTTGGCTCACAGGCAGTCTTTGGTGATTCGGCCAATAATGAATTGCCGTCGTGGCAAGACATTGATACCATTACTGACCGAGAACGAAAAGAGTCGGATTCCGTCGGCAAACTTCATGGAAATAAACAACATTCTGCAAAGGAATTTGATGCGGAGAAAGCCTTTGGAGAAACCCAAACGTTTGGAGGGATTGACTTTCGAGCGGTTCGTAAGCAGCAGGAAGACCTTCTGAAATCCAAGATTCCACAAAACCTAAAAGGTATTGGCAATCTGTGGCAAGAAATCTCCCAACTCAAGAGCAAGCGCGAACGTAAGAACCGTATCATGATGGTCGAAAGTAATGGATCGGGATACGGCAAACCTGTTCCTGTCCTCAAGTCGAACGACTATGACTTGGAGAATGGTGAATCTTCTGTCTTTGATCGTGAATTGAAGAAAGACCGAAAGGCCAAGTTTAAAGTGGCAAAGAAGAAAGTGGAAGGACCTACTTTTGACAACCAAGACTTTTGTCAGGTACGATGTGTTCTCGATAGCATGATCAATTACTGGTTGGCAGTATTGCATTCTAACCTCTTGTGTCTTTTGATAGGTCTGTGGTGATGGTGGCAGTTTGGTATGTTGCGGGCGATGTCCATGCTCTGTTCATTTGAAATGCGTTGGCTTGAAGCGAGCCAAGGACTTTCTAGCTTGTACGCATCATCGCTGTACCGGCTGTGGAAAGAATCGGCAATGCGCAGGTGGACTACTATATCCATGCCAGGCATGCCCCAATGCCTACTGCGAGGATTGTCTTCCAAAAAATGGAGTCACTTACTTGGAGAACGTGCCACGCTTTGATGCCTTGAAATTCGACAGTGCGAACAGTCCAGTTGTTTACATTATTTGCAGCAACCAGTGCCGTGCTGTGGCAAAGCAAGAATTTGGATACGTTCAAAAGCCAAGCAATGGTGGCAAACGAAAGTGTCTCAGACCGCTTGATGTTTCCTTTGGGTTCGGAGCTACCAAGAGTTTGGAGGCAGAGCTATCAGAGCTACAAAAGGAACAAAAGGAACAGGAAACTGGAACCAACTCTACCTCTGAGAAGGTGCGCCGTGGTGGAAGAATCCCTTCAAAAATTGAATCCTTGCCCCAAATCAAGAAAAACCCAGACAGTAATTCTTGTGAAGAATATCGTCGTTGGAAGGCCCTGCCCATCTCCGAGCGAGCGATTGAGAAAGTTTGCCTTAGCACTGGCAAAGTCTTGGACGTATGCGCCAACTTCAAGGATGCTTTTAAAAACAGTCGACTAAGCCCTACAACCCTCTATGATCGGCTTCGAAAGCAAAGCCCAAGTGAATGCGACGGCTTCCTGTGGAAGTTGACCACAGTGTGCGAGGCCGGTGAGCAAAGCGTTGCGAAAGGGAATGATTCTTGTGCAACGACTGCATCTTCAAGTATTTCGAGTGATAGCACTAGCAGTGACGGCAAATTATCGCCACCAAACGAGGAAACCTCTTCGATGAATCTGAATGAAGCCCAACCTAAATCGCCAGCCACTTCGCTACCAAACGAGGAAACCGTTTCGATGGATGAAGCCCAACCTGATCCGGCAGCCACTTGCGCCTGTAGTTAGCTAAAAATAGAATCTAGATCGAGAAACAAACTCATGGCCGCTTTTGGCGAAAGGCATACGCTTGCATTGATATTCATTCAATTGCTGAGTTTTGAAAACATGAGAACAGGCGAGTGGTTCATAAATGTGGCACAAAGGAAAGGAACTGAAACAACATCACTAAGTGACTTGAGTGACGTAGAAAGAAGAATGGAAGTTCCAAGGATCCATCATTATGGCATTGTTCCGAGGGTATTGGCATGATTGGAGCTGGATTCATCGGTCATCAATACCTGAATGAGGTTGATGGATGTCAAGTCGGCCCACTGAATGTCATCCAAGACCATCACAAGAGGCTTGAAGAATGTTGCCGCACTGCGGAAGAAGGTGCGAATCGCATGGTTGACACGTTCTTTGTTGGCTCCGTAGTCTCCACCGGCGATATCTTCCTGTGCCAAGAGGAGATCAGATGAACCAACAACGTCTTTAATCTCAGGAAGGATCATGGCGAGTGTGGGCAACTCTGGCCCAACATTGTTTATGATCATCTTGCGAATATCTTCAAAGTCCATGTGCTCGGAATAGTTCTTGCGATGCAGTATTTTGCCACAGATGTGACGTCCAGCTGCTCCAATACCAGCATATGGCTCATCGCACAGCTTTTGATCGAACTTGCCCGTAGCAAAGATTCCGCTGTCCTTGACAACAGAGTCGGCAACAGTCACAGCGAGAGCTGTCTTACCAGTTCCTGATATTCCTGAAATATAGATGAGCTTGTTATTACCGGTGTTTACAAGATCATCGAGGCATTTTTGAATCGCCTTCGTCTCCTTCTGGCGTCCGTAGAATCCGAGCTGAGACTTTTTGGTATCTAGCTCCTTCCCCGAGAAGAATCGGCGATTGAACTTATCTCAGTGCAATTCGGCATCGAAATGGAAGTTGTGTCGTTGCCAACAGAACGTAAGATTGGCCTACTGCTGGCAGCTTTGCTGAATCTAGACACACTTCCTTGAATGGAGAAGGTAGCAGAACCGTCAGCATCCAATCGAAAAATATTTCGGAGCGAGAACAAATGGACGAGGGAAAAAATTCGAGGTAAGAACGAGACAAGTGCTTGGGCGAGGAGAGCAGGAACGGCACTTTTCATATTACATGTTGGTTGTTGAAGTCTTTTATGACTTTCGAACAGTATTTTTGCGAAACTTTTGGGGAATTTAAAATGTGTCCGGTCGAACATTGAGGAACAATACGACTTATTCACGCGATTGGATTTCGCCAGATCTTTACCGTTGTGATATCTCGCTGTATTGTACCAGGGTATCAAGTTCAAAGTGTGCTCATGAATTTCAGAACCTCATAAATTCACTTGTACGAAACTCTATCAGCCATGTCTATCTCAATTCTACAAGCCGGTCCTGCTATCATGTATGGCGGCCTTGCCCTTGGATTGGGATATGGAACCTTTGTGCGTGAGAAGGAACCCTCCTGGAAGATGCCAGCCATCATATCCGCAGGATTCTTTTGTTTTACCGCGTTCACTGTCTATCAAGAAGGCCTCCTCGGTGTAATCCCCAATCATACTTCGAATTACTGGGGTAATCAAGTCTGGTATGATCTGCTGTACTCCGTGGGCCTCTTTTGGTTTGCTCTTGTACAACGTGCGAAGAAGGTCGGAATGCCTTTGTTGCCTTGGTTCATTTATGTCATTTGCACTGCAAGCATTGGTGGATTGCACATGTATGCTCGAATCTTGCACCTTGAAGAAGAGAAAGGTAAAAGGGATGATGGTCCTGTCAATGCCAACTCTGGTCTCCTCTAAAAATGTGTCATTTGCGATGACTTCTAAGGTTTAGCTTATAAGAAACTATAAATTTTAAGGAAACTACAGTAGGACTATACAGCGAGTCGTTCGATATTTTGAAAAATTGTTCTCCTTTCAGTATCAGTGCATATTATTGCATTTATCAGGTAATCACAGTGCAGCGCAGTACAGTGCAGTGCACTGCACTGCACCCCCTGTCGTTACTGCTGCTTCTATGGGGTTAGGAAACAGCACGCAAAATTATACCAAATGCTGGGCACGCTAATTTGTCCCATTTATTTCCGAAATGTTATTACAAGCTGGCTTGACTAATTGCATGATACTTGACATTCAAAGTGCGTCCATGAAAGGGAAGCCCGTCCTCTCTCCAGACGTCAAAGATTAAGCCATTATGCTGAAAGGACACGTACATGTGCATTCCATCGGGTGAAAAATCCAGTCCAGTCGTTTCGTCACTTAGCGATTCACTCTCCAGTATGCTGAAATACCATCCATGTTCATCCCTCGCATGGACACCATTTTCCTTGCCGCCCTCTTCGCAAAAGTACAACATACCATTGTGAATCAATCGCTTCATTTGATCGGGATGTCCATCAAAGATGCCTGATACTGTTGAATGAACTTCATAGGTTTTCGAGTCCAAATTCAAAATGAATAGCTCTTTCTGTACCTTCGACACGAAAAAGAGTTGATCGTTGTAGGCATCAATTCCTTCGGAATGCTTGTAATACTGTTGAGAATTCATCTTAGCAGTTTCGCGATCAGTGGTCCAGTAGTAGCTTCCAGACGTGTTGTTATTCTCAGCAGTCGGTTCGAGCACTAAATATTCTAGCGTTCCCAGATCATGCAGAATTTTCCAAGGATCTTCCCAGTCGGGATTACTGGGAATAATTCGTCGTAAAGGGCCCCGTTCCTTATCTTCGGTCACATAGAACGCGGGTTTTTGAGGATTGCGAGCATCATAGGCAAAGGCTTCGAAATATCCTGTATCCAGTGTTGACAGTGGCTCGGGAGGATGAATACCAAAAGGATCGACTTGATAAGCCTCGCCACCATTGATTTCTTCACAGGAGACTATGGGATTCAACGAATGTAATGAAATATAATGGGTTAGCCAATGACGACATTGAATCCATCGCCCCGCCTGTTTTTCATCAATACTTACCCCAAGTTCCCCACGGTGTAGGTCCACCACTGCAATTCATGGTGGTTCCATCCAATAATCGTCTATAATCCACTACATGTCCGTCCTTGTCAAAATAAATGCCCCCCACTCCTCCTCTTCCCGTTTCTTTTACCTCCGAATTGGAAACATACACCCAACCTCCAGTTTCGAACCATGGGAAAATGGCGGCTCCATCTGGTTTTTCGTGAAAGTCTTCGTTGCTAGTGGATGCGGGTGAAAATCCAGTCAGAGTGACTGGTTTTCCTGAAGTGGCAATAATTCGACTGCTCAGGCCTTCACTCAAGAGTAATCCGTTGGATTTTACCGTCAATTTGCCAGGAATATACGTGGCGACATTTTCTTCTGTCGGTGACACGCTTTCCATAGTAGGTGCTATAGTGGGTGGTGACGTAGGAGCACTGGTTTTGGGTGGTAGCGTTGGTATCCGTGTCGAAACCGGGAATGTGGTCGGGGTGGGTTCCTTATTGGAGGGTGCCTTGAATGGCGCTTCTGCCGAAATGTCGGCAACGTTGTCCGCATTTTGGCTATTGCTTGTTTCGTTCGACTCGTGAATTTCATTCGAAGACAAGGCGATTGCTATGACAGCTACAACGACGATTGCCACCATTGAACAAACCAAGAATTTGTACTTCAAGGGCTTGGGAAAAACTCTTCGCTTGCGAGAAACTCTTTGCCACCATGATTCCACTGATTCCTCTTTGTCACTATGCGGAAATACTTCCAATCGACTACCATGCTGAACTTCCCAGATGGATATTTGATTTTCTTTTTCGCTTGACGAAGAGGAGGTTACAGTATCGGTAGAGGCTTTGACGAGTTCCTCGCTCCGTCGATATCGCAAGCTTCTTTGACGGGATACCGAGTAGTCCCGATTACTGTCTCGTGATCTTGACGAATGATGTGGCCTCCTATGTCTGTGTCTACGTTTTGAAGAATTTGACAGGTCTGAAGAATGGCCGTTGCGGCTAGACCGATGGCGACGATGATGGTGGTGGCGACGAGCAGTACCTATGGCATCATCTCTGTCTTCGTGATTGCGGGAAGTGGAATGTCTCTTGCTGGTTTTGATGCCACCCTCGCTTTTGCCCGAGCTGCTATTTCGAACTCGTCCGTGATGCCTAGAATCTCGGTAGTTGCGCCGATGCTTGCGAGGACTTGATATCGAGTTGGCTGTGTCACCATCTCCGCTCAATGATAATGTAGTGTTTATGTCCTCCTCCTCATTATTGCTCAAACTGCTGTGCCGAGATCTTTCATTCGTTATAGAAACTGGACTATTGTGTCGGCGTGTTCGATGGTGAGGGTCAGATGTAGAGCCCATTTTCTCGATAGGTTTGATGGGTATTATTGCTTCATTCATCATGAGCGTTGTAGTAATAAAATCAATCTTTTGTTGTTTGGGGGTTGTGGATTTTTGGAGGAGTACGCGTGGTCGCGGAAACATATTCGGATAGCGACTGACTCGCTTGCGCGAGCATCGTACAGTACAAGTATAATATATCTTTTCCAAAAATGACTGTTCCATTTCGACGTTGACCTCGACTAGACCGACTATTAGGAAAGATTTTCACAATGACTCTGTAGTAGTACCGGTATAACTTGAACATATTGACGAATAAGTGTCATCGCATCCAGAACACATTCATATCTTTTCGAATGCTTATTGCATCAGTCAACCGAAGGTTTCCACATTTCTATTCCCGGCGTTTCGATTACTGCAAAATGCCAAAACGAACGGAACACCATTACAACAACGAGCTAGCAAACATGGGAACTGCAAAGAATCCCAAAAGAGTCAGAAAAATGTTGGAAGAAAATGGCCAAGCCAAGAACTATGTATTCCGGATTGTCTTGACGGGAGGTCCATGTGGTGGCAAGTCCAGTTCCCTCGATGATATGACAAAGTCATTGGTCAAGAAAGGTTACGATGTCATGTGTGTACCAGAGGTGCCAACCATACTGCTGAATGGTGGTTGCAAATACCCAGGAGAAGACGGCAATAAGGAAGCGTTGATCATATTTGAAAAGGCCCTGATCGAAGCGCAATTACAAATGGAAAGGTCATTTATAGATATCGCCGAAAGTACAAATCGTCCCACACTGGTCATTATGGATCGAGGGTTGCTGGATGTAGCGGCATACTTGCCAGGTTAGTGTATATCGCCATCATCATTATCATCTTGTTTTTATGTGAATGAGACTCCATTATCGTATAGTATACTTGAAAGAAAACTAACTAATTTCATTTGCTCCGCAAAATGGCACTATATACATACATATATGAAGCTGATTTGTGGGTGGAAACTCAAAAAGCAGTCAACTTGACGGAAGAGCAAATGGCGGATCGATACGATCTCGTGTTGCACTTGACCACCGCCGCAGAAGGTGCCGAAAAATATTACACCACGGAAAACAATGCCGTCAGATTGGAAACTGCCGAGCAGGCAAGAGAACTCGACAAAAAGATTCGAACTGGCTATCAAAGAGCGCACAAAAATGTCAAGGTTGTCGACAATAGTACCGACTTTCAAGGCAAATTGAAGCGAGCTACAGATCATGTCATTGAACTCGTGGACGGCACGAGTTAGCAAATATGAAGCTTATTTTGTTTGGTTTGGTTTTATTTTATCCAAGCACTCGTATGTTGACATGCATGGACGCCCAACGATGAGAGATGAATCCAGCTGTCCAAGCGTGTAGTATATATGGAGGTCGTCGTCATCATCATCTTTCATTTTGGATGCCGAGGAATCGCAAAATGATTTTGCGTTCCAATGTTACATAGCACGCGTACCCTCGACTTTATATATACGGTAGTTAGTTCGATTGTGCTTTATAAACTATAAAGTTCCATCAGCTTTGGCCATTTCGACCGAGTCCTGCCACTTTGTCAGTAAGTAAAAGACATAGGCTGCACCCAAAAGTTGAACCATGCCATTCAGATATTTAGAAAACGGAATTTGTTCCTCATAGATTTTGATGATGGTAGAAGCAGCTCCAACTGAAGGATTGAAGTGTGAGAGAAAGTTGCAACGAAAGAGGGTGTCGTTATATAATACTATATACAAAGACGGAACACACAAAAATGCATTTGCGACGTACGGAAAATCAAGCCAGGATTCCGGACAAGCAGGACGAAAACATTAGCTACTACACTGCCGAAACCTCCTCCTCTGCTGACTTTGAGCGCCATTTCTGTGCCAAAATTGGATGTGTTCGCTTCCGTTATTGTTGTGTCATCATTGTTTTGAATGATATTCTTGAAATGAGCCTCGTCGATATCGTTCCCTTGTTTCAAAGGCAATGCAAAACTATTCCGGGGAGTGAGTCCCTGTACAGTGACTGTTGCAACAACGAGCAGGATACTCAAAATGAGGCTGGAAAACATGCTTTCGGTAACAAGTGATGGATATGTATGCTGTACTGAAGGCGTCAACAATAACGGTGATATACTGTAGATGATGATTGTTTGCGTATCTTTTGTTCATCAAACAAACGTATGACGGACAGATATGATGCCCGGCTTGATATATTCGACTAAAAGGAATACAAGCAAAAAAGATACGCACCCATCCCACAGATCATCACACTATGTCACATGTCAAATCTTATTTGCGTGTGGTACAAACACATCCAAACAAGGCCATCTTCAATCATATAATGGATACTCCCAATGGATTATTAATACCCATCGATGGAGTATTTGTCCGTTAAAAATGCTCTCTATGATAGTACCAAGAATATGCTTCTGTCAGATGGCTCCTCCTCTCGACGACATCATGCACATCGTCGGCATGATGGATCAGGTCTCATTCTCACTGGAATTATTCATGGAGCTCCCTTTGAAGCATTTTATCAGGGCTGTTGAGCTAAATGTGCTTGAGTGGACGTAATCCCTGGTCTTTCCCTTAGTAAATGACCGCCCTGATGGACAAGGGTTTTCATTTCCTGCGTCACCTACTCGCTGGATGCCGCCATGAATTGGCCGGTTTTATTTACCTTTCGCCATCGACTTTCGAAATTCTGATGCGCCTAATTCAATGAAGATGATGCAATCGAGCTATGTTCTTCAATGAACAGTTAGCTTTCTTGCTTGCTTCTCCAGTACTACCAGTGTTGACGGTACTAGTCGTCGTCAGCAATGGAAATACTGGTGCATGGCTGGACCTACCGTATCTTTTGAGCCTGTTAGGGTCACATGCTGTCAATGATTGCACCACAAACACGAGATATCTGGAGGGACATTGTCAGAAAGGGAGTTTCTGATCAGCCTGTATATTTGTATTGCAGGGTCCTCTACGGCCAACGAACTACGGATAGTCAAGCATAGTGTGGTTCGCAAAACACCTATGCAGGCAAAAAGCGGTGGTCACTGCCACTATGGAACAAAAAGACCAAATGTTGGAGTCCATAGTTGGCGTTTTATTGCAAGGAACGCGGATCAGCAGCAGGCCACGGTTGAACGAAGGAATTCTTGCGATGCTGCGCTCTCGCCAACATTGATGGTCTCCGAGTACTTCCAGGGGTCAAGATAGTTGGTCAAATTTGTGCTGGGAATTGACCCGCTCTGCTCGGCATTGTGAGTATACCAACAAAAGGGAACTATCCTCCGTCGACAGCATGCCTATTTCTGTTCTTGAACCAGATTTGAACCCTCGGAAGAGGTAGCGTCCTGGAGAACTCCAAGGAGACCATTCGAACCCTTCAGTTTCCAATTCAGTAGTGACTGTCCATCCGTATATCGTATATATCCAACTGATGGTGACTTTTGCGAACTAACGAAAAATCTGGGATGAAACTGATAAGCATGAGGATTGATTCATTCTGATACAAAAGCAAAGGTTCTGAGGTTTTAAAAAGATTAGATTCATAGTATGATCTTCACCATCGCATTGTGAAACAGTAGATCGTCCAATCAGCATGTAGACATAGATAGATATGTGATTTGCCTCCTTCGTACAGCATAAACTGAAACGAAAGCAACTGCCAAAGAGATAATAATGAAGCTCAAAAGAAAGCAGGGAAAAGGCGCAAATCAAAAATGTCTAATTGATAACCTTTTTATTTAGGGCAGTGCCAGGTACTACGACTTGCTTCATTTCCATCGTCATGATGAAAGAACCTTGTTCCATTCACATTCTCTTGAATGTCAAGTCTTCTATATTTTAAGCAGTGATTTTGGAAAGAGCAGGGACCTGGGCAGTGATCTTTTTAACCGTTTCAGCACCAAGCTTCTCCTCGAGGAAAGCCAAAATCTTCTTGAGCATGTCGGTACCTTGTTCCGGTGTCACTCCCGACTTTTGAACAATTTCAAGCATGCCAGCATTTCCACCGGTCAATTGATCAATCAAATTCTTGATCATATCAAGGACGGGCATGCAGGGCATTTCCTTTTCATCCTTCTGGTTGACGCTCTCGTCAATAACAGCTCTGGCTCCAGGAATCTTGGAGTCCATTTCGGTAGTGACTTCTTCCGGTGACTTCTTTTGGATTTGCTCGAGGACCATGCCCACAAACTTCTTCGCTTGGGCTTCGTCGACACCGGCAGCGGAGGCAGCTTGTTTGATAAATTCGTCCATGGCGTTTGTTGTTGTTGTTGTTGTTGCTGCTGCTGCCTCAGAGTTACTGGTATCTGTATTTGTGGTATTCTGACCCCCGCCAAACAACGCTTGAAGCATACTACCGGTAACGGAAAATAAGCGTCGCGGTGGCTATTATGTTTTTGACGTTTTCTGAAAATCTACCTCCGACATTCACATTTTGTTGTCGACGTCAACGACGAAAACAGATGGCACTTTAGTCCGATGGGTCAACATTACTAACTAATAGTGGCCGGCCGGCCTGTCATCCATTCTCATGTGGAGCTACTCCTAGTAGGAAATAGGATTTCAAATAAACGGATCATCTATGGATAGTTATTAGAACTTGTAATCCCCTCCGCTACCAAATTTCCAAGCCTCCATCTGCCGCTTCAACTCAAATCGTTTTCGGGGATCCGTGGTTTGCTCGGCAATGGGACCCAGAAGTGGACTTGCAGCATTGTCCAATAGTGTATATAATGCAATCATACTCACATGTCCAAGCCAGTCCACCAATCGGGGAAGGCCAACGTGAGCTACAATCTCAGGCATGAAGAGTGGGTCTGCAACGAAACTTCTGGCAAGGCTGCCAACCAAACCATCTAGTCGTACAACATCCTGCAAGAATGGCTTGATCGTTCTTTCTCCCATGTTCTCCATGACTTCAAAGTTGACAGCTAGTAGCCGATTCACAAACTTTGGGTTTACTCTTTGTCCTGTCTTGACTGACATTGCCTTTTGGAACTAATGAAAAATAGTCAACAGATCGAGTGAACGAGATTGAAAATCGGTGAGAATTCGGGGTTTCAGAATTCCAATCAAAGCATCAACTCAAACAAACGTACCATCCATGCTGCGCTGAGATTCGGAGTGTAAGCATTGATTTTGCCCAAATCGTCCTTGTGCAACAAGTCGTCTTCCAAAGCATCGGAAAGGGCATCCGTGATTCGTTCGAGGTGCCGTGTCAGTGCGCCAAACCCGCCAAAGCTCAAAGGAGATTGGATACCACTAGCATCACCCACCGCCAAGACTCGGGACCACTTTGGTTTCAAGGGCGAGTCACGGTAGGTGGGGAAGAAGGCAAACAAAACTCGTCGGAAATCTAAATCCTTCTCGGGATCCGTGATGGAATTCTGATAGATAGGGAGCAGTTTCCAGTAATCATCCATCAATGCCGACAAAGATGGTCTTTCCTTCTCAGCGTCCTGTACGTAGTTGTTAAACAGAGTAGAATTGGATTTGAATAAAATGGTTGGACTCCGAATCAATCAGTTGTAGAAGAACTTGCAATTCGACATAATACGTACCATGTATGTGAACATGTAGGTTGTCTTGACATCACTTTCTCCAGGCTTCATACCTCCTTCGGCTCCAATGCCAACAGGGAAAGCCTCCCAAAAGTACTGGTTCATGCTGGCTCCTCCAACATCCATGATTTCGGTGTTGGTGTAAATGATATCTCCAACCAGGTTTGTATTGGGGTCAAACCCAGAAGCACAGGATCCTACGACGGCGCAGACGCCGTCTGGTTTCATACCAATTCGTTGTTGTCTAGAAATTGGGCTTGCGTTACCCATGCAATCGAGAACAAGACGAGAGGTCACGACATCCGAATCTTCTCCAATGTCCAAAGCTCCTCCAATGGTTTCGGACACGCAAATGCCTTGCAAACGAGTCTGTTCGAGGACAGTTCCACCAATGTCACGGAATCGCTGGGTGACTCGTTCCAACAATATTTGAGGAGCCACTCCAAGATTTAGGACGTCAGGAGTGAACATTTCATAGCCAACATCATTTTCAAAATATCCACCTTCCAAGGGTGTTACTTCTTGGTTCTTAAAGCCCGATCGACAACCAGGGAACTCCGTGGTAATAACTGCCTTGACATCTTCTTCAGTCAAGACTCCCAACTCGACCAATTCTTTCATTTCGCTCCGACTAATGTTCCACTCTTGTGCGCGGCCTTGCAGCTTGCCAGCTTCGACAATGGCAATTTTCAAATTCGGGTTTCTCAACAAGAGAGAAGTGGCAAAAAAGATGCCCAATGTACCACCGCACACTACCACATCATAGTCTAATTCCTTCTTTCCTTCGGCAATTTCTCTCAAGGTGGCCCATGCCCGGGGGCTGCCTTGGGCTGCATCATCTGTAATAAAGCTGTCTTGTCGTTTGCCCAACAATTTTTCGTCATAGTCAAAGGCTTCCATGTCCTTTAGTCGAGCCCAGTTTGTTTCGGCCCTCAAAAAGGCATCCCATGTTGAGGAACCTCCAGCACCACTGGATTGGGAATCATTGGTTTTCTCCATGATTCGTTGAGTCAGTGACTTTTCTGTTGTTTCTGCTCCTGTTGACGTTGTTGGTTCTTCAAGGGTTGCTTCTCGCAGAGAGATGGTGAATCGACGAGGATTACCATGGCGCAACGATTTCGTGGAGATGACATTGGGTTGGAATGCTTGACATCCAATGGATGGGAGCACCAAAAGGGCGAGAATGCTGAACTTCATGTTGTCGTGTTGATGACCACGATGATTGAGTTTAGAGCTGATTCTTTTTGGTTAATTGCAGTACTTCTTCGCTTATTCTTGGAGTAACGTCACTCTTGGTAGAAGTATAGGAAGTACAAACCTGAATCTGTGTTCTATTCCTGTGTCAAACAGAAGATGATGCAAGAATGTGATGTTACAGTATATACAAATGATATGTTTCTGTTCTGATGAGAGGTATATTGCTGACTACGTCATCGTCAATCACGAATGACTCACGCTCATGACTCAGAGTGTCCGTTCGCGTCCGCCGACTGCACTTCGCCCAGCGTTTGGTCACCATATTTTATTGTTCTTTTTGTATACATCGCAAATCTCTATCCAGCACATAATCATCGATAGTAAGACTGCTCTCTCTCTCTGCATCTTCATTTTTACCAAGTAGTGGCATTGAAAGACCCAAAACCGCCATGAAATACAAGGCAGGGTGTGACACTCGGGGCCATCACATTCGGACATCGTCAGTCCACTCGTCAGCCAAGCCCAACTCATGTGCCAATATGTCAGATTCCTTTCAGGCATAGTCACAGCTCAGTCGATCCAAGATCAAGTTATCCATCCATACATCTACTCGGAGATCGCTTCCAAATGTCAAAGCAATGGCTCTAACATTCCCTATCTTCGAGATTGGTGCAGCATCCACCAACCAAACGCCAGCACACACAAGGGAGAGACCCCCGATTGTCACTCACGAATACCACATCATATTCTACTGGCTCGTCGTATCCGAATGGCGTCTTCTGGTCTCCCTTTCGAACGATATATTCGAAATATTTGAACGCTTTGCTCATTCTCTGGCGCAAAACTGGGTGAAGCGGTCACATGTTCCATATTCGATGATTCTTCCAAGGGCACGAATTCGTTGCTACTAAAGACTTGAAAAGCATCCATTCCAAAATGGGCTCCGGTTGCTCTTCCCTCCTTATCTTCAAGACGCTCCACGTTTAATCCCAAACGATGGCAGGCCCCAAAGAAGCCTTCCAATGGCGAATCCTTACGAAAGGGACAGGCCACAAAGGCTTCATTATGATCACGTGCCAAATGAGATGCCAGTGCACGGGCAAACAGTTTATCCATACCAGAATACAAAACATCAGCAGCCACTACCAAATCAAAGTCTCGAGCTGGTAAAAAGGTGCTGGGGTCTCGCCAATCCAGTCCGTGAATGACGACTCGTTTCTCTTTTTGTTGGTCATGTCGCAATGATGATGATGATGATGACGTAGCTCCTCCTGTTGAAATAGCATTAGGAACAACATTGCAGTCAATATTCTTTCGCAGCAAGGACCATAGCGCACTTTCGGAATCTGTTAATGACACTCGACTGATAACGGTTGGTGGCAAACCTTTGGCCAAGGTCAGGCCCACGATTCCGGTACCACACCCCAATTCCAGCACTCGAAGTGGACGGCAACTATCACCATTTTTGGTGATGGTAGCATCGTTCGAATACCGATAATACAAATACTTGGAGAGGCTTACACCACTGGGCCAAAGCACGCTGCCCCAAACAAGTCCTTGGCCATCATTGTCGGAAGGATCTGCTTGATGCAATATGACGCCTTCATCTGTCACAATGGGTTCTCGTTCCTTGGTCGATGTTTCACTTCGTTGGCTGCTGAATCCTCGAAGAGTGGAAACAGTAGAACAATTGCGACGTTCAATGTTGGGAAAGACATGGTCATTCTTGGGTGGTCGAGTGGTTTGTTGTGGAGGAGGTCTTGGTGGTGTTGGTTGAATGGAACGGTGATGACCCGAAGCAAATGTGGCATGGCTCCTCCGCTTGAGTGGACGCCTTGCAATGGAGCATCGCAGAATATGAATTGTCTTGTTATTCATGTCCAACTTCTGGAAAGGCGTTGAAGGGAACAGTTGCTGAATTTGCAGCAAATAGTTACTATGCAATGCGTGTGCGGACAATTGGAGATATTGTTTCGAATGAATCGCAATATTTTTAATGCGGTCACGGACATGTGACCATACCATATTGCGATCTAAAAAGTACCACACCCAAGAGAAGCAATGCACAAGCAATCCTTCATCAACATCACCATGAAATATATACAGTGCATTATTCTCTTCAAAAAGCGGTATTGTTCTAATGAAACTATACAGTAGAACTGTAGTCTCTCTACTACTTCCTCAGTCGAATGAGTCAATCAATTTATAGATCCGGGTCCGTCAGATGATGACACTTCCCATACGTAGACTGACTCACTCACTTGAGACAACAAAAGAACAAGGTGCGCAAGCCCTTCGTCAACATTCTATACATACCATCATAGCCAATATGTAAGAGGCATATAATATTGTATAATACAACAGCGAGATCATGGATGAAGAAATGGATGATTCAGATGCCCAGCCGTCAGCAGTCTGGTTCGTCTACACAGGCCAGAGCAGGGATGAACTTCCAGAGGGTATTACCCATGTCAAGATGGATCCCTCAGTGCGAGAAATAGGAAAAAAGAGTCTTCATGAACTATGTTGATTCTCTCAAAAGTGTGGCCATTCTGCATTCCATTATCAGTGGAAATCATGGGGAATTCTGCCTTCGCGAATTGCGAACATTTGGTTGATGTGTAAGACTCGAAAAGGGGCTCAAGGTCGTTGGTGCAGCCGCTTCCTGGGGCTGCAGTCTTCTGAGGGATATTGAACTTCCAGAAGGCTTACAAGAAATTGGCTCCGATGTCTTTCGCATCTGCGGATCGCTTGACAGTTTTGTGATACCCAGTAGGTGGCCTTAAAAAGACAATTGCAATCGAGGGAATTGACGATTTTGCCTCCACTGGCTTGGCCTTTCCATGTTCGCATTTGAAACTGCACGAAAAACAACTAAGCCTTGGCGAAGGAGTCTTTCAATCGTCTTCGTTGGTAACTGTAAACCTACCAGAAGGCCTGATAATTTTTCCACACGATACTTTTTATTCATGCAAATTGCTCACAACGGTATTGATGCCATCAACCGTGGAGGTTATTGGAGATGATGCCTTCCGATTCTGCTCTTCACTGATCAATATAGAACTACAGGAAGGTTTGAAGGAAATTCGCTTACGTGCGTTTGCTACGTGTCGCTCTCTACAAACTCTGTCTCTCCCAACGACGGTGGAGACTATTGGCCACAGCGCCTTCTGCTGTTGTCGTTCCCTCATCGATGTTGGCCTTCGTGAAGGGCTGAAATATCTTGACGCAATGGCTTTCTCCTCTTTTGATCGATTGAGCGCAGTTGCCTTGCCGTCTAGCTTGGAGGATCTCGGTAGGAACTCATCGTCGACGGAGGATGGAATAGATATGTTCCGCAAGATGTTGCAGCGAACGAAGGAGTTCGGCGAAAGCTTGCAGCTATCGTTGTCTGGAAACTCAACGCCCATCAAACTGAAGCAGCCAGCTCGCTGCAACATCTTGCGGAACATATCTATTCCATCCTCCGTCGACGATGAGTCAGGCCGTGCTTTCGAAGGATCCTCCTCGATCGCTAAGTATGTTATTTACACCTCCTGGATTTAGATTCGAACATCTTCCTGTGCACAAGGTATGCTACCACAGTTCGAATGCAACGGTGGCCTCATGGACTTGATGATTCTCGAAGCGGCTCCACAGCACGTATCCCAGTAGACGCATTTGAAATGACACCCTTTCACATCATAGCCACATCTAACTATTCTGACGACGACGTCGCCTACGACTTATCTTCTATTGATAAAGTTATTCGTACCGGTAGAATAAAACATTCAATTGTAAAGAAAATATCAATATAAATGTATTAAATATGCTTTCACTTTAAAATACATTCAATCCTAAAAATGAAACAACTTGTTTGTTGTAGTCCTAATATGTACACCATAGCGCGCAAGTGGTAACCATCGCGGTCAACCCCCCTGGAAAAAGGTTTCCTTCTTTCTTTTAATGAGCATTCTTTTGTCCTCGAATCATATCATATGATAGAGCACCATAGACTTCAAGCCAGTCAGCCCGAATTTCTTCTGTAAATTCTGATTCTCCGAGTACTGTTTTGACAGCATGAATCAAAGCAGTTCCCATGGAGTTGAAGTACTCTGCCTTGACACCATATCGGACGTGCTTTTCTCCAAGCTCGAGCATAATTTCCGTCAGCATTTCGATTTCGGGGCCTAGCAAGGAAAGGGCACGATCAATCATTTGAATAAAGAATTGGGCATGCTTGATGAATCGCTTGTTCTTGACAACTTCGTCGGAGCTCAGGTCCATATCGGGGCGGAATCCAAAAATTGCCTTGGCTTCTGGTTCAATGGAGAAAAATCTAAGGTAAAAGATAGGGAAGGAAGATGTGCGGTTAGCAAACTGATGCGAATAGAACAACGAATCAGGAGCGATGTCAAAAGAACGTGTGTTAATGCTTACTTTTGAAATAGCTTGGTTCCAACTTCTTGTTCGTAGTTCTCTCTTCTTCTGACTTGTTCCCAAGTGTCAATGACATTGGAGACGGTGGAATAGGACATTTCGGCAACCATTTTGGATGTTGTGTGTTATTGTACTAGTTCAATTGAGTGGCCGAGAAAATTATGAGGCTTTCCTGTGTATTTTTGTCAGTCTTGCTTTTGGATTTTTGGAAGTTTGACTGGAGAAGATGGAGAAGGCATTCTTCTGATGACTTTTCAATGTTCACTGAACTGGATTGATAAAAGAGTATTTAAGGTGTGGGAGAAGGTCAGGAATGTCGCTTTCTAAAACATTTAGGTGGTTTGTGGTCAAAGAAGGCGTTTGGGCCTCCAAAGACGGAACAGGAAACTATGTAACCGTTTCTGTTCATAAATGTCTTGACACTTTACAGGTGTTAGAAACGAATTCCATTCACAAAATGCAGAATTTTTACGACTCCATTGATGTTCACTACCTGACGTGGTGTGATCAATTCTGTCGCCTTCTTGCTTTCCATTCCAAGCCATATACAACAATGCGGTACCGGTACCTCTGTTCAGATACCTTTTTGTCTGCAAAGAATACCATTTGCTATTCCTTATATACTTCTGTAACTTGTCATTCAAGATTTTATTATTCGATCAAAGTGGTGCTGTGAAATTCTGCCTCTTTGGTACCGTACTGTATGATATTATTTAGGCATTGTTCTGCGAGACTTTTGTCAGTAGCCTCTGATGAATAGTCTCTCTCTCTTTGCTGCCACTATGTAATACTGCTACTATACCGGGATGAGACGATGATAGTTGGACCCGCGGTGGATACTACCGGTATACCGGTACCGTACGACAGAAGAAATCCACGCAAACAACCTCAGATATCAATGCGCAAAGCACGCGCAAGCACGCAAATTCCGACTCCTTTGACAACGACACATTCGACCACATGACAATCAATGACGTACTCCAACAGTTCTCCAACACTACCGTAACTGAAACCTCTGACGTCTGCGTGCCTGCCGAAAAAAGCAATCCAACAGAATTGGAGCATGTCAACGATCTTATTCTCAAATAATTCGTGGAAGCGAGAAGCATTCGAACCTCCCGCCACACAGTATCTTCCATTTTGCAATCAAACAAGATGAAGTTGTCCATGAATGTCTTCGTTGCCGCCTTGGCCATTGGATCTACCGGGGCCTTTGTGCTTCCACAAGCAGGATCTGTCCGCAACATCAATCCTGCCTTGGATGCCACTCTGATTGAAAACTGGGAATTGACCCAAGATGGATCCATCGTTGGCCAAACCCAAGGTCACCCTGATATGACCGATGGCGAGATCATTTCCACTTCTCCCTTGGTGAATCCTCAGGCAGCCGTTCCTGCTTCTTTTGTTTCTACTCGCAGTGGATCGCAATACTTGTTGGGCACTCCACGAACTACGAATGTTCCTGCTCAAGTCTACCCGCCACCATCCCCAGCTGCCACTACCGACGACAATTCCATCACCATCTCTCGTGAGACTTTCCTTGCTGGTGGAGCCATTGCCGCTGTCGCTGCTTTGACTGCGGGTGTTAGTACTGTGTTGGGAGGTGGAACCACAAACGACATTGCTGCTTCGTCTTCCACCGTGAGGGGCGCCCCTACCAGTAACCCCATGATGGCTGCCAAGAGTGGTCCCGAATTTTCCAAGTTCACTCCTGGTCCTGTCGAACCCACCAACGAAATCTTGACTCCCCGTGAAGTCAGTGATTTGTTTGAACTTTGGAATTTGGCGTTGAAAACTGGAAATCCTGACACCGTCGCCATGCGTTATGCCGATGGTGCCGTGTTGCTCCCCACCAAGTCGGACATTCCCCGATCGGACTATGCTGGCATTCGTGATTACTTTGTGCACTTTTTGGAAAAGAAACCAACGGGACGAATTTTGGAAAGTTACAGTACGTAAAATACTACTTGTCGTGGTGTATCGTATCGTATCGTATCGTATTGTATTGTATGGCCTGATTGTCGAACAAAATGGCTGCTGCTGCTGCTGGAATCGTCGTCATGCTGTTTGTTTGTTGGAGACTAACTGACTAACTGACTAACTGACTAACTGACTGCCTCGCGTTCACTCGAATCATTTGACGACGCCCTCCCATCATTTTGACTGACTCGCTCGCACAGTCTCCACTTCTCCTGGAAGTGCCATGGACGTTGGTATCTACGAATTTGCCTTTGAAAATGGAATGCGCATCCGTGCCCGATACTCGTTCTTGTACAAACTAGTGGATGGACAATGGAAGATCAAGCATCATCACTCGTCGGGCATGCCCGAAACTCCTGGCCAAGTGATTAGCGAAGCCGAAGTTCGTGGACTTTTTGATTTGTGGAACGACGCCCTACTCACGGGAGATTCGGACGCTGTCACCAAACGATACGCCAAGGGAGCCGTGTTGTTGCCAACCGTGTCGGACATTCCACGTACCACCTATGCAGGAATCAAGGATTACTTTGATCACTTTTTGGAACTCAAACCAAAGGGCAAGATCATTGAGAGTTATGTTAGCATTGGCGAGAATTGGTGCAAGGATGTGGGGATTTACGAATTCCTCAAGGGAACGGATGGTACTTCGGTCCGGGCACGATACAGTTTTGTTTATGTCTTTGAAGATGGTGAATGGAAGATTAGTCACCATCACTCGTCGCTCATGCCAGAAGAACTTTTGGCCAAGGCCAAGAAGGCATAAACAAGTAGTACTGTAGTGATTGTAGTAACGGAAGATACTGGTAGTAGTAGTAGTAGTAGTAATACTGTGTGCTGCTGGACTCACTCCTCCACGTTTCTTTATTCTTGTTCTTGTGGATCACATTCTTAGCTAGCGACAAGTACTACTATTTGAAGGAAAACGGGACTTTGCATGGAATTCGTGAGTACTAGTACCCAGTACCAGTACCATACAGTGTACATCATGCATACATGTAGAAAAAAGCAACACTACAAGTACTCTTGTTGAAAAGTGTTCCCGTCCGTAACGGGACTTTTGCATGTTTTTCAATGTGCTGTGAGCGGCCCCGCTGTCCGTTTCGCGGTCCCGCGTGCGTGGTAAGTACCGTACGTGTGCACGTGTACATTTCGTAGGTATTCGTGGTTTGGCGCGGTTTCAAAAAAGTCGGAGCAGTTATATTGTTGCAGACCGGCGGAGCCAACGATATACCGCAGACTTCAACTACGAGTATATTTTAAAGGCTTTTATTGATTGTGATAGCTCTTGGGATTGCTGTTCGGATTGCTGTTCTGGCATCAGTACCGGTACTGTAATATGGGCAACACACCAATGACATCCGATTTGCCAATGGCATCAACCTCCAAACAAGAGAAGAAAAAGAAGGGCGAGAAATCATTCAAAACGAATAAAAAGCAAACAACAACAATAGCCGCTGCTAGTAATTATGATAATGATGATGATGATAATGATGATGATGATTGTGCACCAAAACTCTTGTTGGACCATGAAACACGTCAATTGCGAAAGCTCAAGTCGCTCTACCAATCCTGCATTTTCAAGGCCGATGCCATGGCGCTTCAAAAATCACAAGGGCACTCCTCCTCGCCAGAGCCTGTGGATGTCATGCAACAACAACAACAACAATTGGTAGAAAAAACCCTTTGTCAACCAAAGCATTCCTCACTCAAGACTTGGGTGGAACTCCAACAACAAATGTACGATTGTGGCATCATGTCTGACAAGCAGCAAGACGCCCTTTGGAATGCTGGTGTTGATTTGGTGGCTCGGAGTGAGAGTAGCAAAGAACGTACTACTAGCAAAGAAACAAAGGCAAAAGCAGAAATCCCAACCAAGGCCACTTTGGCCGTAGCAGATGACACTGCAGCCGATTGGCAACAACACGAGCAACCCATTGCAGTAGTTGTCAAACAACAAGATGGGACCATTGAAGACAAGTTTCTTTTTAGTCCTGAAACCATTCGGGAGAAGGTGGGATCCCTCAAAAAGGAGCTTTTGGAAGAGAATCCCTTTTGCGAGACGACGATTTGCTGTGAGAAGAACCTAAAGAGAAAACGGCTCAACAACAAGAAGAATAAGAACAAGAAGAAAGAGAAAAAGAATCGCTCTCAAGGTAGTAGTAGTAGTAGTACTACTACTAATACTTCTTCTTCCAAACGAGCCAAAACGAACAAGGAGGAGGCGGCAAGAATATCACCTACTACTACTTCTACAACTACTGCTACGACTGGCGAATCATCCGCCACCACCACCACTACTACTTTTCAGGCAGCTCCATCCGAAGCGGCCAAACGCAAACGCACCCATCCCAAACAACCCAGTACAGTCATGGTAGGGGATACTATTTGGGTACATTACGAGGATGACGATTGGTGGTACAAGGGTCGCGTCCTTGCTTCTACCCAAAATTACAATGCCCAGTCGAATCATCGTCAGGGATTGGTGACCGTCCAGTGGGAAGACGACAAGTACAATGATAGCCAAGAAGCATTGGACGTGAATAATAATGGAGATGCCTATTGTTGGGGAGTGGACAATGATCCAAATGCCAATTTCAACCAAGAAAAGGAAGAACTTGTTTCGACCTTGAACATTGGCTGCCAATTGTCGATTTATTGGCCGGCGGAACAAGAATCCTTTCCAGGTACTCTGACCAAAATGGACAAGAGTCGCAAGGAAAAGGATATTCATTATATTGAATACGAAGATGGGGATTGTGAATGGTTGAATCTAAATCAACGACGCTTCACGATATTGAATTATGATGATAATAATGAAGAGGAATGAACAACTGACTGACTGACTGACTGACTGACTGACTCTAGCATCAACAACTGATGCTGTTGGTCGATTGGGAATGGGAAAGTATTTTTGCTGGCAGCATTATTATTTGATGGGTATACGAAGAATGATTCATTGTGAAACGAGGAATCGACTCTTGAATTCTGTGCTCGCATTGCATCTCTATAGATCCGGCCATATGCAGGAGGCTGCGTATATGGCATGGTTGTGAATGAATGAATCCATTGTTGGGGTACGTGGATTTCAGTTCATTTCATTACATTTCATTGTATTACATCAGATTAGATTTTCTATTCGAATAGTAATAGTAATAGTAATGTAATATAACAAGCGAACACAAATATCAAAGTACCATGTTGCGCCATCTGTGTATCATGCATCTATTCCGCCTCCATCTTGGCCCGTTTTGCGTTGGGCTCCTCCGTTGTGGCAATTTCTCCTCCCTTCTTTAGCTCCTCGTACAAACACTTCATGATGCAGGATACTTGAATGGCCAATACTTTCAAGTTGGACAATTCTTCCTGACGAACGGTCCATCCATATTGGGCACGTTCTTGAATGGTAGTAGTACTACCGGTAGTAGTGACACTATTGCCACGAGATGGGGGCTTGGGTGGTACTTCTTGGGCCAGTAAGGATTCCAGTCGATTCACAACCGCATTGGTAGTTTCGCACAAGCAAGGTTCTTTCTGCTTGGTAGTCTCATGTCGCTCATCATCATTTTCATTTTCATCATCATAGTCGTCCAGTTTCTTGTTCAGTGCCAACAAGAGGGACCGGCAGACCAGGATACCAAGATACAAATCTTCTAGAATGGAAGCATCCAACAAGGTGGTCACTTTATTATGATTGCCATTATCGTCGCATATCAGTTCTTCGTAGGCTTCGGATGGCAAGAATTGAAAGCACATCCAAGTGATCAATTCATCGGTCAATCCCTTGTGATTATTATTCTTATTGTTGTTGTTGGGCTCAGTCTCGTCGTCGTTTTGGTGCTGATCAGTAGTACTGCTGCTTTCATTACTACCATTACTACCCACCTCTTGATTGCAGTCAATCAAAACATCCTCGGACAAGATTCCATCCTCGTCCCGAATGGGAAGATCTGACACCTCCCAGGACTCTTCCTCGTCTTCTTCCATTCCTCCTCGGGCCTGATTGTTGAGCTCAATAAGTTTGGATTGAAGGCGCTTGGGGATTCCAGATTGTTTCATGGCTTGACAGGCAGGAATCAAATGCTTGGATTTCGAAAGCGAGGCTGGTGTCAGACATGGTGTCATTTTGGAATGGTTGCCAATTTCCGCAGTGGATGGTAAAGGAGGAACCATGACAAATCCAAAGGTTTGCAAGAGTTGTGCCGATGTCAAGGAATCTCCATACGAATGAAGAATTTCTTCCCCTTGGGCTATGGGGCGCTCGGCAACCATGCTAAAGCAACCTTCCGAATACTGTAGTGTGGTACAAGATTTGGAAGGATTGTGATTCAACATATCAATAATGGGCAGCAAAAAGGGTCCTTTGTAGGATTCTTCTTCGTCATGCCCCTCACCCGAATAATGAAATCCACGGGTGGAAATGCACATGCAGGCATTCAGAAACATCTTCATTTCGTCATCTTCACTTAGTTTTTCCTGGCCTAGCAATTTCAGTTCGTCCAAGACTGGTCGCACTGCTGTTTGATAACGAGTTTTCATGGAATCTTCGGTTCGATCTGCTAGTACCATGGCACCCAAGGTAGTACCTTTCAAATATGTTTTGATTTCCTCATTGGACCATTGAAAAAGAGTTTCATATGTCTGGGGGAGAGAGTCCAAGTATGGTTTCCAATTGTCATTCTCGTTCGACGATGACGCAAGGTAGAAGGATGAAACACATTGCATCCAAGATGATTTTTGTCGTAAAGATTTCGCATAGTCTGGTTTATGTAACAGTGTCCTTCCACTTAGAATACAAGAGGATGGCAGTCGAATAAGTAGTTCTCCTTGATCAATTGGACGGCTAGCAATCACTCCGCGATTGCTTCCGTTATTGGTTGTTTCCATGTGGAGTGCTTGATGAACAAGTCCGCCATGTTTCTTCTGAACCCAACTTGTCAAGTTTTTCCAAATGGAGTAATCGTCAATACACGCTTGTGAGGAGGTGGTCAACTTAACGGGATCGCTGGAATTTGGTTCTTTGTCTTTCATACTATCGACATCAGATGTTATGGTAGCTGGCTGGCGGTACCTTTTGGTATATTCAATATGTGTATGGTGATGGGTTTTTAAAAGTGCGCGCAATAATAGCAAGCAGACTGTCGAAGTACGTTCTGCGGATTTGGAATTATCAAAGTACTTTTACACTGAATAGAAATGTTTGTCGTCTCCCCGTTGAGATTGATGGTGCAATTGATGGCGTGATTTCCCCATTGTATGACTATTACCATCACATCATCAGTCAAAATCATCTAATCACATCAGAAACAAAGTACGTATATAAACATGCGTAGCATGTCCCAATGCACAACATCATTCAATCAAGACTTGTCATCGTGGGATGAATATTGAAACGGATGTTCAACTTTAAATCCTCATTCAATTAGAATCTTTGTGCCTGCTGGGGCTCGCTCATTTCGCGACACTAACTGCCACTCAACGAATGACCCAAGCCTCTCTTCGAGCCGATCTGGTCCCTTTTGTCATGCTTGTGTCTAGTTTCGTAAAATAAAATAGTGCATAATGTGTTTAACTGCAAACTGTTAATCACCAACTTATCATTGTAGGACCTATATGCATTTGCAGAGGTAGTATTCTTTGATTTCATTTTGATCGATGTATTGGATCGATTAGATCATCATCATTTCCCCTACTGCATTTTTTAACAAAGGTATACAGTTGAATTTATGCCAATAGAATTATTGATTCTGCAGCCCCGACTATGATTTTTTTAAAAATGCAAAGGTTCTTTCGCTAGTCTATAGATCATCCCATACCAAATCCAACAATTCCTTTTCAATTCGTGCTTGACGTTCCTCTGCAGCACGGATGAGATCGTCGACCTCGTCCATTTCGCCGACACCAGCACTCGTACTTGTAGGTGGAGGAAGCATTAGATCGTCGTCTTCCTCTTCCTTCTTCTCTCTGACCTTGATGAGCGGGTCGTTGAGACCAGAACTAAAGAATCCAAAGCCAGAACCTCCACCAGTAGCATCTCCAAACTTCTTTTGAGCTTCTCGACTCTTGGCAATGCGTTTCTCTTTTGCTTCTTTCCGCTTTTCTTCCTCCTCCTTGGCTTTCTTGGCCTCTTCGTCGGCTTGCTTGGTGGCTTCTTCCCAAAGAAGAGCTTCTTCTTCGGCACGCATTCTGGACTCTTGGTAAGCCTTCAGACGAGCTTCCTCCTGTGCCTTCTCCTTAGCCTCTTGTGCTTCCCGGCGTCGCGCCGCCTCTTCGGCCCTGAGACGGAATTCTTCTTCGGCCTTGAGTCTGGCATCTTCTTCTGCCTTGATTCTTGCCTCCTCAGCTGCCTTAGCCTTGGCTTCTGCTTCGGCCTTGAGTCTTGCTTCCTCTTCTTGCCGCTTTCTGAATTCTTCTTCCGCCTTTTTCCTGGCCTCTTCTTCGGCTTTGGCTTTCGCTTCAGCTTCTGCCTTGGCCTTGGCTTCTGCCTCCGCTTGAGCTTTGGCCTCCTCTTCAGCTTTCATGCGTGCTGCCTCAGCTTCTGCCTTCTTTCGCGCCTGCTCTTCTGCCTTAAGCTTTGCAGCTTCGGATTCTTCTGCCGCCTTGCGAGCATCTTCTTCGGCCTTGAGTTTGGCTTCCTCCTCTTCTTTGGCTTGTGCTTCAGCTTCAGCCTTCAATCGAACTTCCTCTTCTGCCTTGGCCTTGACCTCCTCCTCAGCCTGGAGACGGGCCGATTCGGCTTCAGCTTCAGCCTCGGCTGCCAACCTCGCATCTTCTTCTGCCTTGCGGCGCGCTGCCTCGGCTTGTTCCGCTGCGATTCGGGCCTCCTCTTCTGCCTTAGCCTTTGCTTCCTGTTCTGCCTTGAGACGGGCCTCCTCCTCAGCCTTGAGGCGTTCTTCTTCTTCTTCGCGAGCTCGGAGCTCTGCCGCCAGACGGGCTTCTTCTTCAGCCCGTTGCTTCAATTCTTCGTCAGCCTTGATTCTGGCTTCCTCCTCGGCCTTTGCTTCTGCGGCGTATCGAGCATCCTCTTCTGCGTCGGTGCTCGGAGTCGTGGGGACCGACGATCCAGCTGTCAAGTCACTATCAACACGTTTGAGTGTCATGTTGACCTTCTCAATCGATGCTATACATTGCAGTGAGAGAATTGGGAAGGCTTCGTCCATTTGCTTTTGAACAGCCTGAATATCATTGGCATTGCACGATACGCCGTTGATCTTTTCCAATTGCAGCCCTTGCTTCAAACCAAGAACACGCTCAAGCGTCGCCGAAGCCTTTGAAATCTTGAGCATTGCCCCTTCATCTGTCTTGTTGGAAGACAATCCCAAACCAAGCTGGAACTTCTGGTGTGGCTTTTGAATACTAAACACTTGACATTCGGAAGTCGAATTCGGATCTGTGGTCATCGAAGCCGACTCGAGAGTAATGCGGCCCTTGGCTTTTTGTAGTGACTCCAGTGCCGAATCCAACTTTCTCTTGGGAGTAGGTTTACCATTGATCTTGGTAAGTCGTTGGTTTGCTTCCAATCCAGTGCCAGCAAAGATACCATCCGCGGCAACCGACTCAATGATCAAACCACCATTCTCGATATCCTTTCTAAAAGTAAGGCCAAGGTCGGTAGAAGGATCCGGCCGCATAATACAGGCCACAACTCGAGCAATATCACCACTCTTGGTTTCTTCGTTGGAGATCTTAATCTCCTTGATACCAACCGACTCATCATCCTTCTTCCGAAGAAAGGTGGCAATACATTCAAGTGTCATGAGGGGGAAGGCTTGATCCATTTGCGTGTGAACACTTGGAATATCGTTCATGTTGCATCTTGTACCATTAATCTTCAAAAGCTTGAGACCCGGCAACAAACCAAGAAGCTTTTGAAAAGTGGCAGGCACCTCCAAAACGCGCAGAGATGGCTCTGATTCTTCGGGCAGTTGAATGGCTCCCATATTGATATCAATTTGCATGGTTTTGGAGGCCTTTTGAATTGACAAGAAACGACGTTCGGAAGAAGCTTCGGGGTCCTTGACGGAAATGGCCTCCAATGTGACACGACCAGTAATCTTTTCCAACAGTCCAGTTGCTTGATCCAAGTTCTTTAGACTGACCCGCTTTCCATTTATTCGCACAATAAATTGCCCCTTCTTAAGCCCAGTACCTGCAAAGAGCCCACCCTTGTCAACAGAATCAATGGCCAAGCAACCCTTTTCGGTATCGGGATGAAAGGTAACTCCCAGTGCCGCATTGGGCGGACGAACCATACAAGCCACGACACGAACATTTTCCTCGTCCTCTTCGTCCTCATCTTCATCTTCTTCTGGCTTCTTTTCAATTACGATAGCAGCAGTACAATCCAGAACCAGCATGGGAAAGGCATCGTCGATTTGTTTCTTGACACTGTCAATGTCGAGTGCATTGCACTTTTCGCCATTGACTTTGGTTACTTGCAAACCTTGATGCAATCCCAAAACCTTTTGAAAGGTTGGCGAGACTTCTGTTATTCTCACGGTATCATCAGGAGTCTGAATCCGCTCCAAGCCCAAATTGATTTGAAAGGCCTTGGTGGCCTTTTGAATGCAAAAGACCTGACGTTCTGTAATTGTATTGCCCGAAACAGGTGCGCTGGTTGGTTTGTAGGCTTCCACTGTGACCAAACCACGTGCCTGTTGGAGCAATCCCACTGCTTGATTCATGCGTTTTTTGCTGATGCGATGTCCATTGATGCGGAGCACTCTGAGACCTGGTTTCAGGGCGGTTTGACCAAAAAATCCATTTTTGGAGACGGAATTGATTTCCAAATGACCATCTTCGACTCCCCGACGAAAGGTAATTCCAAGATCCATTTCCACATTGGCACGAAGGACACAGGCGATCACTCTTAAGCTCTCGTTGGTTTCTTCCTCCTTGTCAGCACCAGCAGCCGCTTTGGGTTCGCCATCCTCCGAAAAGTTTGGATTAATGGCAGTGGCAATACACCCCAAAGACAACAAAGGGTATGCTACTCTCATTTGTTCATGAACACTCTCAATATCATCGACATTACAGGGAGATCCATTGACACTAACCAATTGCAAGCCCTGACCCAGTCCCAGAACCTTTTGAAAGGTGGGAGACACCTTGACAATTCGAAGACTATCTTTGGGTGTCTGTACTTTTTCCAATCCAAGTCCCAATTGAAATGATCTCGTTGCCTTTTGAATGGTAAAGACTTGATGTTCGGTAATCTCTCGAGCATTTGCGGGGATGACCAAGTTGGGCGTTTGCACTTCAATGGTAACAATTCCTTTGGCTTGTTTCAGCAAGACTTCAGTCTTTTCCAATTTACTTTTGGAGATGCGGAAGCAGCGATGACCATTGAATTTGACCAATTGCTGATCTAGTTTGAGTCCAGTGTTTGCAAAGAGGCCATTGCCGGAAATACTCTCAATCACCAAACACCCATTCACCACATCGTGTCGAAAGGTAAGTCCCAGATCGATTGAAGTGCTGCGTCGAATCACGCAAGCGACAACTCGAACCACTTCATCGGATGATGACATAATAGCTAGTGTTGTAGTGCAGTGTTGGTTTCAGAAGAGCAAGTCTAATGGATACAATAGGAATAGGCCAGTGATGCCCTTTGGATTGAATTGACGAAAACTTCAAACTCTCCGCGAAATTATTATTGACCTCTCATCGAAGCTCTTCGTGACATGATGACGGACATCGTCGTCACAATAACAAAATTGAAAATGACCCATTGATTGATTGATTCGATGGACTAAACATCACATGTAAAAGAAATAGAAACGCGGTACCAGTACTGGTACCCACCGGGATGTCAGCACGAAGCGCCGTCCTCTATCGTACCATGGAACAAAGAAAAAGGCTATTCAAACATATATAAAACCTGTCCATAACATCTACTTGTACAGCATAAAAATTGTCCAGACGAGTTTATAGCTTTATTCACTACCGGTACGGTACAGTATCTTCACATAATCACTTGACGCAGTCGGTACACAGTAACATCCGACCAACATTTGTAAAGGAACAGCCAACCCAACTAATCTGCCAGATATTAGTATAATATTCCACAATGACAAACAAAAGAAATCACTTGATCTTGGCTGCCTGTATTAGACCCTCCAGGTCCGCCAGTTCATCTAGAACTACTTCCGCATCATGATCCCCGTCATCATCCGAAGAAGCTATATTGTCTTCAGCAAATTCTTGGTGATCCGATTCGTGATCGTCCAAATCCGGAGTCGTCAACTCGTCCGCGGAAGCATGGCCGGAATACAGCATGCGCATACTGGTACCCATGGCATTGGAACCCATTTTGCTCCGACGAGAAGAACTTCGTTGACTCCCACTGCCTTTTTCAATTCCACAACTATGAGCCGAATTGTCATTGTTTGGACTATCGTTTGCTTCCATACTGCGACGGCGTGAACGTGGGCCTCGTCGTAAATGATGAGGGGAATTGCTGGCGCCTCTGGGTCCATTAATCGAGTGACGAGATAATGCTCCAGGAGATGTCGTAGCTGACTTGCGAGTCAGGGTTCCGGGAGATGCCGTAGCCGACTTGCGAGAAATAGCCCCAGGAGACTTATTGCGATCTTGCCTTGTCCTATCACATCTTCTAGTAGACCTCCCACTACTGCTTAGACCACCCGGTGACTGCGTCAAGTTTCGCATTGATCGTCGTTGCGAGGTTCTGGTCCGACTCATTCGCTTACTGTGATTGCTGTCACCACCGCCACCATTACTGGACGAGGTGGATCGAAAGGATTCTCCAATATTGTCATCAATGTCATCATCGTCGTCAAAGGAACCCGTAAAAGTTTGACTGGTAAAAGCGTCCGTGTCGCCGTCATCGTCGTCGTCGACATTCACCATTGCGTCTTTGAGAGTTCCAAATCCATTTTCAGGTTCGCTGTCATCACCGTCATCGTCGTCAGCGTCTGCCAGCAAAGACCTTTTTTCTTCTTTCTTCTTTCCCATGGTTTTGTCGGTGTTTTGTATAAAATATAGTTTGCTTGTGTTTGCGTTTGTGTTTGTGTTTTGAAGCGATGGGTCAATTTGAAATTGGTCCGTCTTCGTTGTTGTCTCGTTTTATATTTCCTACGGCACCTGGTACACGTACCACGTAATTGTACCTACGAAGAGATGCGATAAGATGAGAGTTGAAGTGTGAGACGATGACGACTACACCTATTACATTTTGCTGCAGACGACTAACACATATGGCAGCTGGCGAGTGTCCGGTCATTGTCTTTCGCAATATGTAGGAAATTTCTTTTGCTTTTATTTGGAAGGCTTTTCATTTCGCACGTCCGTCCTCTGTCCAAAGGTTATTTACAGGATGCACGCAATTACACGTGTCCGGACATCATTGGTTGTCTTGCAATAATAAAAAGATCAAAATATTTCTTTACAGTATCTTTTGAGCATGCATGGTGTCAAATACCAGTACCGTATTGATTACCAAAAAGAGCTCTGTAATCGATCCGTCCTTCATTTTTTCATTTTTCAGGCTCTATGTTTCGAAAGTGTATTTTTACCTCTAACCAAAAAGCAAACAGGACCAATCCGTTTGGGACATCATTGAACTGGCAAAATGGCCCGTCTGATGGTGAGAATTCGGATCTGATCGTATGCCTCCAAATGTTTAACCGGAAAGCGTCACTTGATCACACGCTAGACACTGGATATTCACAATGGAGAGGCTCCGGAATCTGATCCTTCACAATTAATGGTTTTTTGTTACCAACTGAGCACTAATGGTCCAGTGGGGCAAAAAAATTGTTTCGTTGACGAATAGCGTTGAGAATCCAGCCCTCGCGGCTCTTAAGTGTCGTTCCAGGTCAGTTGAGCCATTCTACAAAACGACATATGTACACGTACCAGCCGAAATCCGGTATGTTCTTGAACGAACTCATGTTCCGTTCACACATGCATGTTCCGTTAACACCAAACGATCAGTGAAGCAAATTCCCAATATTCCCAATATTCCCATAACTTCCATTTCCGGCTTTGGGTCCTACAAAAATAATAAATTGTGATACTAATGACATTGCCAGCCACCTACTACGCCGTTACTCAGAGAATCTGCGCCTTGAACAATCATGGTGTCAAGAGCTTGCAAGCTGGAGGGACGGCAAGAGCAGAGGAGTACTTCGGTGAAGCCATTGTTCTCTCCAAAGAACTGATTGCTTCTTCGGCACAGCACTTGGACGAGGATGACTTTATGCGATATACTAACCAAACCAAAGAATGTTGCTGCTCTTGTCCAGCTTGCCAGATCCGTCCATCGACCCAAGAGGAAGAAATGGACGCCCCGATTTACCTATACAATCGCACTCTTATGCTTCCCCAGAGACCATGCCATGTCCAAACCCTGGAATCTTCCTGTCTCAACTGTGCTGTGATTCTCTTCAACATGGGTCTCATGAACCACATGATGGGCTTGAAGAATCAAAAAATCCCTCAAGCCCTGGCAAGAGCGGAAGCTTTCTATGAACGCAGCATACTTCTGTTGAATGGGGTGCCCAGGTTGGCTGCCCAACGCAACGAAACGGCAATCCTGATCATTACCGCCACGGGCAATAACTTGGCGCAAATTGCTCTGGAGAACGGTAACATCGCTGTCGTACGGAACCGCCTCAAGTTTTTGAATGCCATCTTGCGAGGACCCAACGAAACCCTCCACAGTGTGCTCACCACAGTCGAATGGACTGGGATTCTGTCCAATGTTTTGCTGAGAAATGGACTGAATGCCGCACGAGCTGCCTAAACCACAATCAAGCCATTGTAAACACCGTTTTGAATCAAATTTGATTATAATAAAATACAATAGATCCTACAATCAATATACGCTGTTGCCACACAACATCATCACTTTTAAAACCAATCTTTTTCACTACACGTGTACAAGCTAGTCCTAGCTACCGGTAGAGGTGCTTGAAACGGTTTTTTCGCTCCGCAACAAGCAGTCGGAAATCTCATTCTACGTAGAGTCGTGTAACTGCTGGTACGGAATGCGAACCTTCCGTGAACATGGAAAAGAGCAGTTCCATAGAGTTGACGCTAATTTTGGATGTGACCCCGCTCAAAAATCTAGTGGCAAATCAAGAGACCTAGATATATGTGAATTTTCGATCGACCGCTACTAACATTCGCTATCATCTTCTACACGTACGTGCTGATATATTTTTATTGATCAGGAGTGGTTGAACTTGTGATGAACCATGTGGCATTCGATGCCACAAACTCTATGCAGTTTCGCTTGTTAGCGTTATTCGACCAACAATCCAAAACCGAATACTCGCAGTGAGTCACTAATGTCCAGCTGATTGATGAGGTGAAGAGGCCATTTTACTACATGTAGTTTGATAGAAGAATCCAGCATACCGGTATGTCGTACCTGGTACTGGCTGGTGTGGAGGAAAGAATGAAGACAGATTGAATACCTTTTGGTGGAGATACAGATAGGTATAGTAAAAATGGCTGTCGAGAGACGATGACTGACTCCGCAGCTGCATCACCAATGAGAGCAGCAAAGGGCGAAAGAATATATATGAAAAGCGGCTATTAATATCTTCAAATTTAGGAAAAAGACAGAAACCCGATGAGGACGGACATGAAGGCGGGTGAAAGAAGACCAACAGCAAATCCAGCGGCATCACTTCCATCGGTTTGATTTGCAGTGTTTGATGGATCGATTCTTTTGTTCGATGGTATGGACGATGATGGATGGGCAGAAATTGGGGGAAGAAGTCCTTCAATACCAACGGAACAGTCGTATTCTGTGCTTCCAAAGATGGTACAATTCTGTGCTCCTCCTTCAGACGTTGAAATCGCAGCAAACGAATCACCATACATAAGGAGGGATGCAACCCCAGTTGCATTGAAGTCTCCATGGAGCGCAACATATGCAGCTTGTCCTTGTTTGAAGACCATATCGTGCAAGAAGGGAAGCTCCTCTCCACACCAGAGGTCATAGTTAAGGTGAACATTTTTTTCCATCCTCTGGATTCCCCGAGTACTCGACGGAGTGAACACCTGGAATCCAGGCATTTTGAATGGGGTTACTGGGATTGTCATCATTGTTCATGTCACAAGCTCGACTTGGGACGACGATCTGGGGCTGCATTCCAGTAGGCCCGAGCGCTAGATTCCCCAAGATTCTACCGTCTCCTTGACAGCCCCCCCCTTGCAAAAATATGCTTCTGCAGTTGCATTGTCACAAAGTGGACACGCAGAGAGTCGAAGAGAAGTAGGGCAGACACAGTTCCCTCTTGCCTCTGATCCGGGTGTGCAGAGCTCACTGCAAAGCGAGTGCTCTCCCGCCTCAAAGTTTGGGACAATGCAGCCGACAATTGGCCCCTTGCCAGCAATGCTAGCAATGATGGAACCGCCAATTTCGGCTGCCACTAAATTTCCGCTATGCATATGCATGCTTACATCATGAATGAAGAATGAATCCAACTGATATGATAAGTCCTAAGAAGGTAGACAATCTGATGGCTTCATTGGGCAATCGATGACTTGATCAATTACGCAAAGTAGGGGAAGAAGGGAGTGGGGTTGGTATCCATAGACAAGGAGAATTGCATCTTTGTGCGATTCACATGAACTCGAGCAAATAGAGTTCCAGTCATATCCTTCAATTCTTCTGGGTCCGAGTTGGTGAGTTCAGGATATGCCTGCATGGTGAGTGGTCCGAGGAGGTACGGGAATTCCGCGTTGAACATTTCCGGCATGGTGGAACATCCGTTGATGCAAAGTCCCCTGAGGATTTCTTTGTCTTTGTAGTAGACACTGCTACATTCCGTCTCGCAGTCCTGTTCGGCACCGACTTGATGCACCACTGTGCTCAAGATAGAAACAAGAGAGAATAATATTTTCATGGTATTTAAGGAGAACTTCATCTTTGTAGTATTGTTTTGGTGATTGTTTGATGTTGAAATTGTGAGACAAGATCCATGCGAGATGGCGTTTTCAAGCTTGAATCAAGTCGCAGTAATGTCGCTGTACTTAGGGATCGTTGAGTAAAACGAATGAATAGAATCCAGCTACTATTAGTGGAGAGGCAGTCCAGTTCCGCAATGGTACTTCGAATGATTTACACAGCCAAAATATAAAATATGTCGGCAAGATTGCACACGATTCAAAAGCTTCGAAAGCTCAAGTGATTGTGTCCTGTTCTGCCTTTCCACTGAGAACAATGTGTAAAGAAATCATCAGAACGGCCGGCGGCGGCTCGGCTTAGAAGTAACTCTTGGAAGAAGCAGATGAGAAGCTGTCATCGAGAAAGAGATGCAGATCATGGGATTGCTATGTAACTATTTGTATCTTCTGAAGTCAGCGTCGGCAGTATATGGTTGGACCGCTACATGCTATACCGGTACTGTAGGATAGGCCGAACTACAGAAGTTTGGTAGTGTGGACGGATTGACGGACAGGAACTGGTTCAGTTCTTTCCGATATTCCACAACACATTCGTATCTGCCGGTACTACATAATGCACCTCCAACAACAACAACAACAACAACAACAACACTCTATTGCCGTTCATCATGTCAAGACATTTAAGAAGATGTTTACCATTATTGTGTAGACAAGTGCACAAAGCAAATGAATCCGTCACAATAAGAGCGTTCCCAGCATCCTGCAATCGACAATTGTCTTCCACACCGTCCTCATCAGTATCTGCTGACGTACACGAAGCTGCCGAATCCATGCAGTCTCTCCTCCAGTCTCGTCGCACCGGAACGTCAATGGTCTTTACGCTAGAGGATCATCAAAAGGAAGAAGGCTTATTAAAAGAAGCAATTCATCGAGCTGTTCAATGTGCTCAAATGGCACCCAACCACAAGCGGACGGAACCATTTTCCTTTCTTCAGATAATGAATTCTTCGTCCAGCGCGGACCAAGTGGCCGAAATTGCCTATCAAGTGGCCGCAAGAACCAGGAGCGTCCCCGTGGCGAGAAAGAAGAAGGAAAAATGGTCTCAAATTCCAGCCTTTCTGGTCACCCTTGTCCACAAGAACCAGAAAGCTGTATTGTCCGACAGTAGTAGTGGTGGTAGTAGTAGTAGTAGTAGTAGGAGTGATACTGTGGATGAAATTTCAGACGGTACCTTTGAACCATTGCCATATGCTCCTCCCGAGACTGAACGGCAGCTAGAAGATGTAAGTACTGACTATCACATATACATACATTTATACATCCTATATTCACAATCATGTTGGTTCTAACACTCATAATAACACTGTACTCTTGTTGATATGCGTTTCATGTCATATTATTATTATTATAATGATACTATGTAGTACGCCAGTGCTTCTGCCGCCATTCAAAATGTCCTGTTGAGTTTGCACGCCGATGGCATTGCCACCAAATGGGCCACTGGACCCGTCATTTGCACTCCTGCCTTTCGAAAATTGGTCCACGCCAAACCTACGGATCGAATAGCAGGGTTGATCATGGTGGGTGGCATGGACAGTACCCAATTCGACAGCGACAAGATGGAGCAAATTACTGCGGCTCGACGGCGACGAAGGCGTGATGTAGATGGCGATGTGCTTCAAAGTTTATTGCCATGATTATGCATATACTATAGCAATTATACGTACATACTACGATTGTCATTTGTTGATCCTATATGGCGATTGTATGATGATGATATTAGTTTCGGTTTCAGAAAGAAAGAAAGAAAAAAAATATTCGAAGTACGACATTCATTGCAGTGATGAATTATGAAAGAGGACCATCATCAACTATTGTAGCAACAAATGATGGAAAGGGCATACCTATGTTATAATGGCAAGGCGATGGATATGTACCTATTTTTATAAAAAACAGTATGTACGACAAGATAGGACTAATGGTGAATCATCCTCGGCGTTGTATAAAGTATGTAATGGAAACGGAATTAGTTAGACATATTTTAAAATGTAATACTCTAGTAGTACTGCTAGGACTACTCAGATACTGTATGAATTAGAAATGACTTATATTAATAGATATTATTTTAACAATAATAGTCTACCGTAGTAGTCCTCAAGTAGAAACTTGTGTTTTCCCCCCATCCGCCAAGAATGCGGATGCAGAGAGACAACTACAACTTTTTTAATCACCTTGCTTCTTACTTCATCATTCCCACCCATAATGTCCTTCTTTACTTTTTTTTGTGCCACGATCACCAACCAACTGTTTACTTTTCCTTTTTTTCTTCCGTTTCCGCTCCAGCTGTTTCTTTTTCATCACTTTCCTCCTTGTCATCACTTTTGCCTTCTCCTTCCTCGTCCTCATCCTCTGGACTAGACAAGAACATCATTGGAATCATGACTAGCATGAGCAACAAGGTAAATAGATTCATTCCAATCTTGACCAAAAAGGACATGATTTCCTTGTCGCCAAAGGTTTCGGGTTCGGAGAATCGTTTGAGTGTGTAGACACGTTGGGACATGCTTTCCTTTTTCATTTCTCCAATGCTATTCTTATCATTTTCCAACATGTCTTCCAAACGTTTGACTTGATTTTCGGGATACAACTTTCCTTCTTGGACTACCTTGTTGCCAATTTTGATGTAATTGTTAATCAATTCCATTTCAAATTCCATCACGGGAGTCGTTTGGCCAGTCCATTTGGCAATGGGATACTTGAGAAACATGGTTTGCAAAATCTTGCTGACGCCCTCGGCCCAAAATCGTTGCTGCCACGAACCGGTATCGTACTTCATGATTTGGGCCGCCACCATATCATAGGAACCCAACGCGTAGACAAAGGAACCAATTTTTTTGGTGTGCAACTGGGTGGAAATGAAATCGGAAACCGCATCGGCCATGGCCTTGCTGTTATCATCTTTTTCATCATTGTCATTGTCACCACCGCCAGCTGCGGCAACACTGTCTTTTAAAAATCGAATGCCCGTTTCGGCATTGTCCTTGGTATACAGGACGTATTCGGGAAAGTTGACTTCTAGGTTGGGTGGTGGTGTCCCAGTGACCAAATCCACAACCTTCTTTTCCACCATGGCCAAGATATTCAACTTGGGGGGCTCCGCCTTGGCCATGACGTTGCGTCGCATGTTGGAATCCTTGACAAAGGCAATGTCAAAATCCTTGACACGATCGGTCGGAGTTTGTTCGAGACGGGAACACAATTCCTTGTAGGTGGCTTCGTCATCGTCATTGCCAAGGACTAGCAAGACGTTGTTGCCCGACGCCAGTTGTTCCTTGAGTTCCTTGCCACGCGAGAGTTTGATGCATTCCTTCTTTTTGTTGGAGTCAGCAGTGACGCATGAGATGCTGCTGAGCAATGCGAGCAACACCAAAAGGAGAATACTAGAGGACGATGATGCTGATGCTGATGCTGCTGCTGCTGATGATGATGATAGACTTCGTGTCATATTATCACAATGTTTCGTTTTGCCGTTGGTTTGTCCTGGACTCTTGTTTGAATGTTCTTTCGAGCAGTGAGAGAGATGCGATTTCCAAAGATCTTGGAGTTTGCGTTGACTAATACTCTTTTACAAGAAAGAGATAAGAGAGAGAGCGAGAGAGATAAATATGATACAGTATACTGCGTAGGAGATACTATATGTAGTAAGCGGAGATCTGAGGTTCACCTCAGGATTTCTACGGGTGTCGTGGTGACTTCCAGACGGGGGCGGAAAAAATGACACGCGCGAAATCACGCGAAATAGAGATTGAGAATTTCTTCGAGGAAATTTGAAAATAAATCACTTTTGCTGGCATCGGGGACTTATCCGACTGCTGTTTCCAGCACACGAACCCCGTTACGCGTGACCAGATGAGAACATGATGATGAAAAAAGTATTAGGTATACGTTGTAGTTGTTGTGTCCCATCCTCATATTCAATATATATATAATCCTAGACTAGGAAAGACAATGCGCTACCGGTACTTTCTCAACTCATCCATCAATCAATAATCACCAATGCAAACAATGTCGCCTAGCGGTATTCCATCTAATGGTGATATCACCACTCTTCCTGACGCTGCTTCTTCAGAAGCTTCAGATGCTTCTTCAGATGCTGCTGCTGCTGCTGCTACTGCTGCTGTAGGAGATCAGTTGCTGCATGAACTTGGTCGAATGCTCAAGGAGAATGCGGATTACAAAGCACGAAACGAAGCCTTGGAAGAGGAATTGCGTCGATTCAAGAATGAAAAGGCTTTAGGTGCAGTGCAAGTAGAACAATCCAATGGTAATAATAATATTACACAATCAACGACGATAGAAACATCATCTATAACAGCAGCAACCGCAATAACGGATGCACTCCAACACCAAGTTGTGGCCTTGCAAGGAAAAAATCAGGCTACGGAACAAATCCTCAAGTCAACAAAGGCGGAGAATGAAAAACTATTCGAAATGATTGTCCAATTGAAGGCAGAAAATATGATATTGCGAAATCAACAAGAAGAGCAACAAGAAAAAGAAAAAGAAAAAGGTCCATTGAATCACAACATTACATTGGAAGAATCATTGGAATCAATAATATCCAGCCAGCCCAATAATAATGCGACTACAACAACCACAACGGCAACGGTGGAAGAATTACAAGATACCATTGAACATTTACAAAATCGACTGATGCATCAAGTAGAAGAAAAGTTGATACTTCAAACAAAAGTTGAGGCATTGGAACATTTGAAAGCGTCTGCTAGTAATAGTAGTAATAGTAGTAATAGTAGTAGTACTACTACTACCAACAACAGCAACAGCAACAGCAACAATAAGATGATTGGATCCACAACAATAACAACAACAGCCGCAGCCCAACAACAACAAAAACAAAACCAACAACAAGTATCCCAAGAAGTACCCCAGACACCACGACAAGCCGACATCATTCGGGAGGCTTTGGAACGCAAAAAGTCGAAGAATCTGAGGACTCGCATCAGTACCAAGGTATACAACAAAGTAGATCAAAAGATTGATGTCCAAGCCTATCAAAACTTGTACGAAGAATTGCAAAAACAAGAACGATTGGAGCAACGGATACGAAAACAAAAACAACAGCAACTGCAGAAACAACAACAACTGCAACAACAACAAAAACAAAAACAAAACAATCAGAAGCAAAAAACAAAGGAGACATTGCAGCCGTTATTGTCACCAATCTCACGACCATTGCAAATACTACAGACCGAATTTGCCGGTAATATCCATTCTACAACAACAGCAACAACAACAGCAACAACTAGTTCTCCAAAGGAAAATGTCAATGACGATACGACCCCGCTCAGCAAGATTGGGACACAACATTTGACGACACGATTATGGGATTTTGATGATTGGGAGGTGCAACCTACAAATACTGCAACAACTACCAATGGTAGTAATGGTAGTAATGGTAATAATGGTAGTGCTGACCAAAAGGAACAGCCGAAACCAACCACAACATATAAATTGTTGGAATGATTTTAAATAAATTGTTATAATGCTTGTCATACTATTATAGGACTAGGACTATAGGAGTGCATATAATGTAATACATTATTATTATTATTATTATTAATACTATTACTACCACCACAACAACAACAACTACTACTACTATTTGCGCTCTTGCTTTTGCTGCTGTTGCTTCTTCCAAACCTTGACGGTCCATGGAAAACCAGTACGGGCATCTGGGGGTAAAAGTGGTCCGATTCGTTCCCAGATGCCACTTGTATGGTGGTCATTGGTATTGCCACTTATTGTATTGGTAGAAAATGAAGAGTCATTGTTTCCCTGAAAGACGCATTTGCTGTAATACCCTTTGGACGTGCGGTACACGTCAATCTTTCCACCATTATTATCATCACCATCGCAACAAGCAAGTGCGTCAAACATTGGTCCCACAATCATGCGAAAGTCCAATGATACTCTAGTACGATCCGTCTTGTTTTCCGTCGTCCAATGCATACAAGAGGCACCGGCAAAGTACTTGATTTGATCTTGGCCGTCACCCTCTATGGGATGCCAATCTTCGGAACCGACCCGGCTTTCCAAAAAGAGGGACGAGGATCCTCCAATGGCCGTCAGAGGTATGTAAAAATTGATGGAACAGGGATGATGACCATACGCAACATCAGCATGGGGTCCAATGCTGAATTCGTCAGGTTGAATGATGCGAAGACAAGGAAAGGATTGGTAGTAAATTTCTCGTACTGTTTCGACTCCACCATCATTATCATCATCATCATTCATATGCCAAGAAGGATACTTTGAAGCAAGGACGGGAACACATGTCGTCCGTACAAAGTCATCAAAGACGGATTGAAAGGACGAATAGGATTGGGTCAGTTGGCATAGTGCCTTGTCCTTATGACCCCGTTCACTCAAGTGCAGTTTGCTCAAATCAAAATTGGGATCCAACCCAAGACTTATCAAGAGAGCGGATCGAAGCTTTTGAATCGCCGCCAAGGAATGTATTTGCCCCTCTTCCATCAAATGGTTTGTAAAATCCTTCATGGTTCGGTCGTACTGCTCCGCACCCGTCGCGTGACGAATGGCATCCAAGGCTTGTGTTCGGTTGATGCGGGCCTTGTCAATGTGAGGTTCCATCACCATTCTCAACGATAGTGGAATTGGATCAAAGGGTATAGTACTGGCATTGTTGGTAGCTTGGGCCACGCAGTAACCAAACCATTGTGATTTCTTCTTGTCCAATCCACCATTCTGATTCGTTTCGTCGGTTGCTGGTTTTGGGGTCGCTTGATTTGACGGCGACAACAAGGGCTGCATCGGACCATGATGCCCAGCAGAGTCCGTCGATGGTCCTGCCACCGCAGTAGCAGCAATAATAGCTTGATTCTGAATCTTTTCGATTCGATCGGTTGTGCTCAAGCCCTTGTAGTACTCAATGCGCTGAAACTTGTTCATGGACATGGGAATGGCAAAGAATTCATTCTGCTTTTCGGCATCGGCATCATTGGCAAATCCATGCACTACCAAATCAATCCCCTGTTCTTCCATAAATTCTTTCGTGACAATCAGTGGACAGGGACAGACTACTTTTCGAACGCATTGCAAGGCTTGTACAATGGCCACTCGTTCCTCTTGCGGCACAATGGGCGGCCGTTTGTATCCAGCTGCATCTTGGTCCCCCGTAACTCCCAAAATGACTCTTGTTCCTAGACGAGCACACTGTTGAATGGCATTCAAATGTCCAATGTGGAACAGATCAAAGACACCGTCCATGTAAATAGTTCGATTGGGTGGTGGACTGGAATCAATGTCATTATTGTCATGGTTCTCTGTCAGTTCATGAGCATTAGTGCCACCTCCATCTTTATCCATGGCATGGTCATTGCCAGTATCACTAAATGGTAAACCTTCTAATTCACTTTGCACTTTCAAATATTCCAACAGTGTCTCTCGGTTGTGCGAGGTGTGTCGTCGAGAGGCTTTTGGAATGGGTTGCATTGGCAAGTAATGTCCTGCCTCAAGAGGAACCTTTGGGTTTTGTTCCCATGTGCCAGCGGCAGATACCAATGGCTTTAATTCGTTCCTTTTCTTCTCCTTGCTAGATGATGCTTCTTTGTCTTGCTGTGACCCTTGATGTTCACTTAGATCCTGGTTTGACGATACCAATGCTGTTCCCTCATTATTGGTTTCCTTCTCGTTCTTCTTGTTGCCACTAGCATTTGTATTGTTCGTGACACCACCCACATGACTGACACTTTGATAGTATACATGAAAGCAATCTTCTCCAAACGCTCGTTTCAAAAGACGAACCGGCTGGGCGGGCCCCTTGATGTGTGTCAATGGTCCCATTTTAAGATTTTCATCCAACGGAAAGAGTTCCGATTCCCTATAGACTTCCTTGGCCCACATTTCCACTGCCTTGCGGGTAGAAAATTGCCAACAAGGATACAAAGATTCAGTCTCACCCTGTGAATAAGCACTCTGCGTCAGCTTTTCCAAAACCGAATCGATGTATTCCTGAGACTGAGCTTGTCCATTTCGCTTTTGGCCAATCACTCGTAGTAAGTCTTGTTCCGTCCGATAGGGTCGAAGGACAAAGAGGTCCACAAAGACTGTATTCATACGCTTCGGTCGTATCCGGTCGCCTCCTTCCCATGGTTTGATTTGAAAGGCGTAGGATTCTGGATTCTTCGTTTGTTTGGTAGGATCCAATTCGTTTTCTTCTCGGATGACAGCGTCCAAGCTTTGTTGCAGATTCGGAAGTACTACTTGTTCGTAGACAGTGCCATCGTAGTCCAAAATGGCCATGTCGATATCATCGTCGCAGAACAAAATGCTGTGTTGTCGAATGGCCCCCAACAAGGATCCTCCCGTCACAATGAAATCCACTTGGAGTCGAGTCAAGGCCTTTTGGACCACTCGCAGGGTTTCATAGAGAGCATCGACTTGTTTCCGACTCAACAAGGTTGGTTCGGGTCCCAAGGGTATTTTGGGTGGTTTGGACTGCGAATTGGTGGACGTCATGATGTCGTCGCCACCGCATGGCAGATTTGCGATGCCAACAGATGAAGTGTGATGATAGCACACCGGTACTGTACTGTAGGTTCCGGTTCATTTATTTTTGGTTAGCGGTTGGTCGGTGATGGATGGTTCGATTGATTCGTTCGACCGCCGTTTGAGGATTTCAAAAGAAGGGCGGGGAATATCAAATATCATACATCCCCGGAGTTCAAATCTTGGGTCTTGGGAATATTAAAATAAATACCCCGTATAACGAGCACAACAACAAAAACGAAGCATCAACCTTTGTTGTTGCTGTCCTTGTCGTCTTTCTCATCATGCAGCAGTCCCACTTGATACAAGGACGGCCTCAAATGGCTCGTCCTCCCTACGTAGATCCCAATACCAACATTATCTACGATTGCGACAATCCAGAATATCAAGGATATTTGACCAAGCAATCCATGTGGCTCAAGGTGCGCATAAGATTGAATCGTTTGCTTCCACTTGATTGTGTTTGTGCTACATTCCAATATGGTGTAGCTAATGTCGTTTGCTTGTTCCGCTGCTGTTGTCTTCCTTCATTCCTCGTTCTCAAACTATTTCCAATCCAATCCTTTTTTTTACAGGACTGGCGTCGACGTTATGTCATGTTGAAAGGCTCCAAGCTGTTCTTTTGCAAGAACGAATACGGAGCCCCCCACGGAATGATCGATCTGGCCTCGTGCACCACGGTCAAATCGGCCGATTTGAAATCCAAAAAGAGACATTCCTTTGAAATTTCCACACCCGAAACTACCTTTTTGCTCTATGCGGATACCGAACAAGAAAAGGACGATTGGATTGGCCGGGTGGGCAAGGCCATTGTCCGTTGTTCTAGTACATACCATGGTCAGAATAATAAGCAGCAACAGCAACAGCAACGGCAACAACAGCCAGGGCCCTATGGACAAATGCAAGGACAACACTTTGGGGGCATGGATGATGACTCGGATGATGATGATATCTACTACGAAGATCCCAACAACCCAAATCCTTACTTCAATGATTAAATAGAAAAGATTGATCATCGTGTATAATGCATATTTACAAATGTATAGAAGTGTTTGGAATGGAATTGCAAGAAATCTGTGATATATGGTATACGTGTACGGTATATGCGCAAGAAAGAACTCGAGCTGGCACACCATAGTAGTGGGACGAAGAGGATGAACCACTCACTTGTTTGACAATAAGATAATATCTAGCGGTAAAAAATACATGCTGTAACGTGTAGACACATATAGATTATGACTGACTATTTATGGGATGAACGAATCTACTGTACGTTGCATCCATACTGCTAGCTCTAGCTGACTCATTTCCGCACTACTCATTGTTTCCGCACTACTTATTGTTTGAGCAATCACAGCTTTTGAAAGTCAAACTATATCACAACATACCTTCATCATTCTGCATCGTGAAGCAATTCTAGAACATATCTTGGATGAAAATAAGTCTTGATCAAAGTTTTTGCAAGTCTACTACAAAGATAAGCCGTATGTGGACTGGAAGCAGATCATACAGCACTCAAAACATTTATTATGTATTCATGTTTTTACTTTTTGTAGCTCCTTAGACTCTGATGATCAAAGAAACCATAATCTCCTACTTTTAAATTCGTCTTCTATCATTGGATGCGGATATGGGAGTACTGTGTGTCGAAATCCCAACGTTGATCATTCTTAACAGAACATCCGCCAGTCACGGAAAGACGAGTCTGGTGAAAAAACAACTTTCGACCTTAGCCCATTTTTTATGTATGACTATTTTCATCATAACAACCAATCAGACGTCTTTGTATGACCCTTTGGGCCCACTGTATAGGGTCAATTGCTTGGTATGTACCTAGGTTCGATCAGTGGCACAAGAATAGGCTATTGGTAGCACTTGGATGCTAAAAAGTGACTTTTTGTGCCATTTTGTTTGGTCGTATTAGAGGACGGCAATGGGGATTGGTGAGCTACAAGCCTGCGGCTAGCTCAAAAGTGTCCTATTGCTGATATAGACGGGCTGTGTCTGGTAAAAGCCAAAGTTCAAAGCCAGCTACTGTTCCTAGTGCGGTCACATTGTCCGCAGCTGATGCTAGTAGAGAACTGCGCAAAGCTGGGACCAGAAAAGATTCCAACAGATACCAGGGCAAACCGAAAAGATTCCAGCAGAAGAAATCAGGGCGATTCCAGCAGGCCCGATAGAGCTCAACAAAAGTTGAAGGCTGCAGGCATGCTGGATCATGAAGAGGGCGGACAAAAGAAGGATCTGGAATCAAAGCCCATTGAGGATACTGCCGGCGAAGGAGCCAAAATAAATATCAACAAAGGCGGTGAGGTATTGCTTGAAGCCGTAGCTGTGGACAAAAACGCAGGAAAAGCTCCAGTCGATGCAATGGAGGACGCTTCCACTACAACCAAAGGCGTGGTCTCCCCAGCACCAGCACCAGTACCTAACGGTACCGGAGGCCCACCAGACACCACTCCTCATAATGAAGAAGACAAGCAACCCAAATCCAAAGAAAAACCATTTTATTGCAAAGGCTGGTTCTGGGTTGTCGTCCTACTAATCTTGGTTGGAGGAGCTGTCGCCATCTTTTTTGGGACGCGAATCAATGACACCACTGCCGCTGTTCCTGAGTCAGAGACTGTTTCTGGAACTGATCCCGATCCAACAGAGTCTGTGCCAACAATGGCACCTGTATCCAGCAGTCCCTCTGGATCACCGTCCAGCACGCCAAGCAGCCTAGTCTTGTTGGATCTTCCTCCTTCATCAGAAGACTGCGCCGCAATTGCCAACGGAGAAGTGGTGCCTGGGCAAGACAATACCGTATTGCAAAGCTACCAGGTGCAAATGGATGTTGTGCTAGACTCTGAATATCCCGATGACACCACGGCCCAGGAGTTGGAAGAGAAAATCCAAGCTCTTTTCATGCCAGAACTCGCTGGGTGTCCAATCAACACTGAAAGACGCATGCTGAGGACTCTGTCCGGGCAAGAAAATCTATCTCGTCAGAGCAGTTCTTCCTCGGATAATGTGAAGATTGTAAATGGTTGTGCGACGGTACCTGGTGCGGCCAGAATCGGCTACAGGTTGTGTACAGAGCGACAAAACACCGTGCTTGCATGTATCCACAATCCTTGATTTGTACTTGAAGGAGTCTGCTACAACATTTACCTTGACAAATATGATTATTCAGGTGTTTGGACCAGAACCAGAGTTGGTTACAAAGCTTGGCTTGCCCCAACCATTCAAGCAAGCACTCATTGTTTCCATGGGGGCTACGGGCACAGGTCCTGCACCTCCTGTTCCCCCGTCAGACTCTTCGGCCACTCCCAGTGCAAGTCCATCCAGTGCTCCTAGTGCATCTGCTTTCAGCAATCCCACCCAAGCTCCTGCTTCATTTCCGACCACTGATGAGCCAACGTTGATGCCTAGTTCGCTTCCATCGGCTCTACCTACTCCTGATATTACTATCAATGTGACACCTGGCCCAACACCTGCTCCAACATTTGTTCCTGTACTGGATGCAACACCACTGCCACCATCGCAACCATCACAAGGTCCAACACAACTTCCAACACCACTGCGAACTAGACGTCCGGCACAACTGCCATCAATTGCACTTTCATCTTTACCCAGCCCTGGGCCTTCTAGTGCGCCTTCGGCTTTTGATGGACTGGGTGTTCCGATTGTGGCTGATTGGGACAACGGACTGACTGCAGAAGAGGATATTGGTAGATACTTTCTTTACCTCCGCCAGCATTGGCAAGTGATATTTGGGTCCTTGTCGCCCTCGGGAGGATTGGCAACATATGGAGTGGAACAAAAACAAAACGGTCAAGTCATTTGGCAAGGAACCGTCGGAGTGTGGACATTTGATGCTTCCCCACAGCCCCGCGCTGGTGCTCCTGATGGGTATGAGGTTGGGAGAGTCAACGCGATTAGGAGTGCTGCTGATGGACAATGGGTAAGACAGAGTCATACATCAATTGATGGTCATTGCAATTCAATTGACTTCTTGTTTCCAATGCAGTTTCTCTATTTCCTTTCACAGCAAACTGGTGATGTCATTGTTCCTTCACCCTGTTTTCAAACCAACACTGAGCTATCTGATGCAGTAGGTGACTGGTTTGATACCCCAGAATTAAAGGGATCAGTTGAAGACCAATATGGCCCAATCGCAGACTGGTGTTTTGGTGCAGGTGTTACAAGCATGCAGGACCTGTTCTTTGAACATTCTACTTTCAATGAGGATATTGGAAACTGGGACGTGTCATCTATAACAAATATGGATCAGATGTTCCGGGGTGCGAGTGTCTTCAACCAGGACTTGTCATCATGGGATGTTTCTTCTGCTACATCTATGGCCAGTATAATCAACAGGGCATCAGTCAAATTTGCAGAGAAATTCAATCAAGACATATCATCGTGGGATGTTTCCAGAGTCACAAACTTACAAGTGACGTTCCAAGTAGCAGGGTCGTTCAACCAAGATTTGTCGTCATGGGATGTTTCTTCTGTAACTGATGTGGGTACCACCTTTCAAGGAGCAGTTGCATTCAATCAAGACATATCATCATGGGATGTTTCCTCTGTAACTTCAATGTATCGAATGTTCCGGGACGCCCTTGCCTTTGACCAAGACTACTG